ATAAACAAAGACATATGATCAGCTGTTGACTTTTGAATGCATTAGATAAAGAAATAGCTGATAGCATTATTCCACAGATATTAGAACAGAAATGGTATCTATATATATAAAAGGCAAAGCCCTCACTGACTGACTGACTGACTGACTGACTGACTGACTCACTCACTCACTCATCACTAATTCTCCCACTTCCCACTTACCTAGGAGGCTGAAATTTGGTACACTGATTCTTTAGGCATTAAATAGGAAAACTAAGTGGTTTTTATTCTGATCGGACTCTCGGGCTCCGCCCCAGTGGCTCTGGAGTTTCCCATGTTAACCTAATGAGTACTCATATTTAAATGGAATTAATGAATCATAACAGCTGTTTCAATTTAACAAGTTGGTTCTGTTCTGTGATATTCAATAGCATTAAAGTTACAAGGATTACCAACAGAGTGCAGCACTATTATTTTTTTTTAAATTAATGACAACAGCTAATTTGCAACCAAAAGGTGAGTGAGCGTAGCGAGCGAACTTCAACCCGGAGGCGAGTTAGCGTAGCGAACGAGCTAACCTGAAGGCAAGTGAGCGCAGCGAACGAGCTCCAACCGTAAAGGTGAGTGAGCGTAGCGAACGAACTTCAACCAGGACGTGATTGAGCCATGCGAACGAGCTCACATATGAAGTTAAACGGGGCAAAGCCCGCGGGTACAGCTAGTGGATCATAAATGTAATGACAACACTAGCTAAATGTCCGTGACGTAGGAAGTGGTGAAGGAAGTAGTAAAGGTGAGCGGTCTGGAGTGTGGAAACTTTTTATGACGATTAGATTAAGGTATCTGCATTCCTAAAATTCTATGGGAAGGGAGGAAAACAGGTCCGCGACGTAGGAAGTGGTGAAGGAAGTAGTCAAGGTGAGCTGTCCGGAGTGTGGGAACTGTTTATGACGATTATATTAAGGTATCTGCAATCCTAAAATGCTATTGGAAGGGAAGGAAACAGGTCCGCGACGTAGGAAAGCCGAAGTGGTGAAGTAAGTAGTAAAGGCGAGCTGTTTGGGGTGTAGGATCTGTTTACGTAGGATGTTTATTAAGGTATTTGCAATCCTATGATGCTATGGGAAGGGAGGGAAACAGGTCCGTGACGTAGTGGTTTAAGGAAGTAGTAAAGGCAAGCAGTCCGGACTGTGGGAACTGTTTGTGACGATTACATTAAGGTATCTGCAATCCTATGATGTTATGGGAAGGGAGGAAAACAGGGCCGCGACACCGTAGGAAGTGGTGAAGGAAGTAGTCAAGGCGAGCTGCCTGGAGTGTGGGAATTTTTAATGACGATTAGATTAAGGTATCTACAATTCTAAAATGCCATGGAAATGAAGAGAAACAGTTCCGTGACGTAGGAAGTGGTGAAGAAAGTAGTAAAGGCGAGCTGTCCGGAGTGTGGAAATTGTTTATGACGATTAGATTAAGGTAACTACAATTCTAAAATGCAATGGAAAGGGAGGGAAACAGGTCCGTGACGTAGGAAGTGGTGAAGGAAGTAGTAAAGGCAAGCAGTCCGGAGTGTGGAAACTGCTTATGACGATTAAATTAAGGTATCTGCAAATCTAAAATGCTATGGAAACGGAGAGAAACAGGTCTGTGACGTAGGAAGTGGTGAAGGAAGAAGTAAATGCGAGTTGTTCGGAGTGTGGGAACTGTTTATAACGATTAGATTAAAGGATCTGCAATCCTAAAATGCTATATGGGAGGAAAACCGGTCCGGGACGTAGGAAGTGGTGAAGCGAAGTAGTCAAGGCGAGCTGTCCGGAGTGTGGGAACTGTGTATGACGATTAGATAAGGTATCTACAATCTTAAAATGCTATGTAGTAAAGTATAAGCATAGTGTGAGAACCGTCTGTGGCAGTTAGATTAATGTATCTTCAATCCTAAAATGCTATGAGAAGGGAAGGAAGCGCACGTCTATGACGCAGGAAATGGTGAAGGAAGTAGTAAAGGCTAGCAGTGCAGAGTGAGGGAACTGTCTTTAGCAAGTACATAAACGTATCTTCATTCCTAAAAAGCTATGGGAAGAGGGAAACAGGTCCAAGACGTAGGGGGTGGTGAAGGAAGTAGTAAAGGTGAGCAGTGTTGAGTGTGGGAATGGATTAATGTATCTGCAATGCTAAAATGCTATGGGAAGAGACTGTAGACTGTAGTTTAAAATTATTACGAAGCACGCAAATCGATACATATTTTCGATACATTCAATCGTTTACAATCTAAATTTCCAACTGAGTTGACAACAGCTGATGTTTACTCCGTAGAGGATAAAAACTATTTTTACTCCCTAAAGAGTAAAAATGCTACTTTAGACCCACATTGCATGCATTAAAACAACTGTTTTTACAGCAGTTTGACAAAACACTATAATATGAACCCTTGATGACTCCGCTCAATTTTGTGGATGCCTTTGCGAACGCCACCTAGTTTTAATGACCACAGAGGTCAAAAACAATATTCATTCAAATTGTAAATTTATATATAAAAAATATACCATGTGTGTCTGTAAACGATAACTCCAGTAATTTTGGTCAGATTTTGATGAAATTTGGCGTGAATGTGTAGAGCTCGATACTTGATTGAGCTTGATGAAATCAGCTGTGTATATGGGATTGGGAGCTTTTCAAAAAATTCTTTATCCAAAGTTTTATAATAATAATAATAAATAATAAAAATGCCATTATTTAGCAAGCGTTCCTCAGTACATACTATGCTTTACAGGATAACTCTTGTAAATTTTTACTCTTGAAACATAAAAATTCCCAACAATTGTCTACATACAGTGATTGCTTATAGCTTAAAACAAATAGTTTTGTATATTGAAGCATTGTTCTACAATAAAGGTTACAGAGAAAATTCATAAAAACTGTACATTTAAAATTCCCACTTTATTGTTAAAAAGCAAAAGAAAACTGTTGTAGATTGATTGTTTATGGATATTTTTGGTTGAAATTTGGCAAATTTATTAATTTAATCCTATATACTATCCACATTTTATAAAAAAAAACTTTTTCCCTTCTCCTTAGCATACTCATAAAAATAAATGTTATTCAAATAGAAAACAAATCTGACAGTTTTAAAGGGAACAGTTTAGTAAAAATCCAATCAGTCAAATTGAAATTCCCTTAGTCTGCAGGTTTGCTGTGACAGGGGTATTTAATTTTAAGCTCTTTATTCCATGGAGTAATAAGACTTACCTCGTAGTTCAACAGGTGAAAGTTGTTTCAATGAGAGGGACCTAACCATTTTAACTGCAACGGGGAAGAAGAAAGAATAAATCAAAACAGCTGCTTGCTAGTACTGTACCGCCACCAAAGTCACCAATAAAATTGTCAGCGCTTGCGCACAGAGATAAAAGTTGTCACTTAACCATAGAGATAAACTACTGATCATGAGCGATAATAAATGAATTAGTGTTATCTAAATATTGCCTGGGCCTGGCATTAATTCCAGCAGCTTATGATAAAAGTGCATTCTGGCTAAAGAAGTTCTATTAAAAACAGTCATTAAACATATGCAAAGCTAATACTAAGGTAAAATGTCAAGCTGTAAAATATTGATTTAACTGTTACAGACAAAAAGGGTGTGTTGCTAGCCTAGTAGTTAGCATCTCGGACTTCGGTGCGGGAGAGACGGGTTCAATCCCTGGCACATCCACAAAACTGTAATGGGTTTGGACCGCTTTCCCTTAAAAGTGCTTGACATCATTACAAAAATGCCACTGGCGTAGACACGAGAAAAAAAAAAAAAACAGATGCAGTTCACCTTTTTGGGATTGACACCTATTTCACAGTCACAATCAATTGGAATCACAATGGGAACCTTTGTTTTGGTTAGGTGTTTGGCACTTACAAAAGTTCATTCTTGACATGTAATCTAGGTTGTTAAGTGAAGTTGTAACCGCTAAGGGTACTTGACTTAAACTCAAGTACTTGGCAAAGTTCGACAACTGATAAAAATTTAACATCTTCTACCTCTCCTAGACACATGGATTGATAACAATAAGTTCTTGGTAAAAGGTGTATTAGGTCACTCCTAAATGTAGCGACTACTTTAGTTAAACAATAAAAACATAGACAATTTTTTAAAATAAATTTTGAAATGTTTGAGTACACTCACAGTCCCAATAAGTGGTGTAGTGTAGGAGTCCCTTTCTCAGTGGGGTAGGAAAAGCACTCTCTGATTTAAAAAAAAAATATTAACTAGTCACCCGTGTTTTTTTCTCTGAGAGTTGTACATTTATTATTCTCGTAGATAGCTGAAGACTATTATTATAAGTTAGGTTTGTTTTCGGTAAATGTAAAATGTGTTTTGACTTCATTTATTTTTATTTTACAAGAAAATCTACAATCAGTAACCCTAGTCAAATAAATAGTTTTTTAAATACTATTTGTACACAAATTCAAGAAGTGTTACCCTGAAGTTATTTGAACCACATGTGGTCAGAGAAAAAAACAGACACAAAAAATATTTTAATTTACTGTTTTACTTAGTGTGAATATATATCACGGTAAAATTAGGTCCCCGTACATACAATAAGGAAAAATACAAACTGCTCTAATTCTTTTAAAGCAGTGGTTCTGATTACTAACACCGCAATAACATAATGAGTTTATGATGTTTTCTACCTTCTTATCCTTTACCACTTATCTTCCGCTTTCAAGATCAGGTACAAAAGAAAACTTGAACAGCTGAGAGCAGTTTATAAATAAGAAATTAAATACGTAGTAAATATATACTACAGCTATAAAAAAAAACTATTGAATCTGTCCACATACACTATTTGATTTCATTTATGCGTTTTTTGACTAGTCACTCCCTATATTTAGAAACTGACCATACTTTTCCTTTACGTCCAGTGAGAATGAAGCCCACAAAGAAAAGTATTACAAAAGTCCCTCAAATTTTCAAGTGCTCAAAATTTGATGGATCATTTTACTCTAATTTAATTCTATCCAGTTTTAAAATTAACTTACCGTCACTCCTTTCTCTCTCAGTATCCGTCGATAGATAGAGTTTTCTGGTCCGAGAGATTGTCACCGTCTCAACCAACATTAGGATTTGTTTTAAAACTATTTAAAAAAACACTTTCAACAACACTAAAAGTGTTGGTTTGAGTGTAAACTGTCTTCACAACACTGAAAACCATGCACACGATACCAAACAAAGAAGCGATTGTCTTGAACAGCTAAAAAATCGCTACTCAATCGAGAGATTATCAATTAATTGAGGATTGACGCTACTCAGATAATGGTGAGTAGTGATAAAAGGTATTAAACTGATAAGGGGGTAGCAAGGTTAAATTTCCATTGCATCAGTGCATGATATGAATTTTGCTACTCAGATAACTTTATAAACAAAGATTATGTATATGTAGACCGTTTATTGATTTTCATCATGTAATGAATAACAGATAGCTTTCAGCATTCAGTGTAATCAGTACCTATTTGATTTTATGTGTTTAAAATGTGACAAGGTTAGAAAAGGTTCAATCGATTTGGTTCAAGATCAAAGTGGTTTTGACTGAGTTATCTTAGCTGGATTGGCCATTTGGAGTTTGCAATGTTACATTTTTGTACTGTTTACAAGAGTTTTATTTGAGTGTCAGTATTTGTAGTGTGAGTTACCTATATGTGTATTAGTTAAGATTACCTTTGCAAGGCTGGCTAATTTTAAATTGTAGAGGTGAAGGCGTAAAAAAACCAAAAATGCTACACCATTAAGGTTTTTGTACTTTATAAAAAGGTTGGCACAGTACTAAAGACTGCAATGAACTGATAAAATTTAGTGGCGGGCACCAGAGCCCCAACCCACTAGGTACATCACTCCCAACATGAATATGTAGTCAGCCCCGCTACGGACTGAGCCACTCACATTGATCATTTTGGTCTCTGTTCTAAGATGGAGTTGGCGAAGATTGAAGATGAATTTTTCCATGGGGATGTTACCCCTAACACCTCCTATAAGTGGACAAATTAGTAGTTTCAACTATTTTCTAATTTCAATGTGCTATGTTAATTTATGAAAAGCAGTATCTTAGTTTTTTTTGTTACTACTCATCTATTGCTATTAAAGTAGATCCGAAACGTATTTGATGAATGGTTATATTTTTTCCTTTAATTGTAACTTATATTTAGTTTACGATTCATATAAATATTTACTAAACATATATACAATGCAAATGCAAATCTCGAACACTGATTGGTATTTTATCTCATCAATAAGAGTCAAGTGTCAGTGAGGCTTACTATTATCTCCATGTTCCTGTGTTTTATCGCCTGATGTAACATTAACAATACATTGCTTCATTCATTGTGTCTTACTCAAAGAGATTGCCAATTCCCAGTTGTAGGTGGTTTTACTAACTTTTCTTAGCAGTTCTTAGTAGTTTTATTTGTACTTTTTTGAAATTTATTTTTATAGTTTGTGTTATCAATAAATTTAACAAAAATATTTTAATAATAATAGGAACGGAATAGGAATAACAAATTTGTTTAATAGAAATCAATTTACATTAGCAGAGGGCTAAATGTAACTACTTTTGATAATTTCCTTCTAAAAATGCTACAAGGATTTGGTTATGGCAAAACACACACAATATAGAAATACTGTATTTATTAAATGTATACATAAGAGATTAAATTAATATATACCTCAATGTGCTTGGATTACGTAAAATAAAACTAGAAATAACAGCCATCTTATTTACCTTCATTCCTATCACAGACAATGTTCCCGATCGGAAAAATATTATGATTGTTACAAGATTCATCAATAGGTATATACAAATATTTTAGTATAATTACATGAGGGAGATGTACATACAACTTAATCAGAGGATAAACAGCTTATAGGTTTAAAAATGTGAGTTTTTGATTGTGCAAGCGGCATGAAAATTTAATATTTACACAGGATTATTAAATTAGGTACCACAAATTTGGATACAAAAGTAGACATCCCATCTATATGAATCAGCTGTTGGCAGTTTGTACTGGAGGAAATAGTTGCTAATATGATGACGTAGGTACTTTTTTTACTTATTATTTCTCTTTTAATTTGGCAAGAGTTGGTGTGTATTCAAAACTCTATTTGCTCTGCCGGTAACTGATTGACATAAGTACTTTTCTTTTTTTAATCTGGGCACAACTTGGATATATTGTCCGGGATGCCTACATTAATGTATTCATAGTCAAAGCTTACGTTATATAATAAACATACAATTTCTTAGTGTTTTACAGAAAAAAAATATAACACCATGATGCATGTATGCACCAAAAACAGTGACAGTTCAAATGTTAAAATGAAGAAATACTTTCGAGCTAAACAGAAACCACTCGATCCTTATTACTTAACCCTTTAAACTTTCAGTTAAACATGCATTTGTAACTTTGGTAAATTGAAATACAAATCCAATTTTATACTTGATAAAATTTGTTAATCACTTTAAAATAAATTTGGAGGTGCTTACCTCATTTCTAAGTAAATATTTCTTTTACCAAAATTAAAAAAAACAAAAATTAATTTGAATTTGAATTAAATAAATTTTTTTCCCTGGAACTGTGCATGTTAAAATACTTTCTTTCCCGTTCAATAGAAATAAAATGAGGCAGCAAAAACTGTTCAGTCAGTTTAGTGATATTAATAAAAATAAAATAAGAAAATTTAAATAATTCTTGAGAGGAATATTCTTTACACATAAATATTGAAAAAATGTGTTTTATAACAAAATGTGATATTACAGACTTAAGTATTGATGCAATAAAGGTAATGTTATTATGTGAGCTTATTAAATGTATAATGTAGATGATTTTTTGCCATTCAAACTATTCCATAAATTTAATTTATCAACTCGCAAACTATGTGTGATGTAAACTATGTTAAAATTTATTTTCAATGGAAAAATAGACCAATACTGGAATTTTGCCTCTAAAACATGTACAATAGTTTTTTTTTAATTTGGTTTAAAAATAATTAAAGTTTGAGTCAAACTGAAAGAAAAAAAATATTTTCATTCAGTTTAGGTTCAAGGTAATCTGACCTTACAGAAAAAGCTAAGTAGACATTTTCATCAAAGTACAATATCAATTTACAAAACTCGATATAAAAATAAATAGCTATGGCAAAGATAAATATTTTAAAACTAATGATTGTAGAGTTTAAAATTAATCAAACCCATAAAGACACTTCCTGCTAACAGATATAAGAATTAGTTTAAACAAATATAATAAAAAAAAATTAAATTAATTAGTTTACAAGATAAATTCATACAGGTAACGATACAAACTAATGTTGTAGTAATGTTGATTTGTTTTAAAATAATGTAGAATATTTTAAACATAAACTTTAGCACAAGCTAAAACATTTTCTGGACAGTTTAATTTAAAATTATATGTGTGTAATTTCCAGACGACAACATAAAAACATGCAATAAATTAAACCACACAGTAGTTAAAATGATCAATTCAAAATATGATATAACACTAACAATAGTTAACAAATATTTACAACTTTTAAGCCATCACTTCACTTAAGTATAAAAGATATGTTCCATAGTGTTGCCTCATTAACAAATTCAAATTGTATTTATTGTAGGAAAGTAATATACATCAATAATGCTTTTGAAGTTCTAGCACCGAATTCCACTCAGAGCCAGAAATAAAATCCAATAAGAAATTTTGTTCAGGGATTTATACATAAAGCTTTAAAAACTAAATTTTTTTATATTTACTGTACCATTAAAAATGTTATTATTTCACCAAAAATTCGGCTACATATCTGAGCTTTACAATGCAAACACTAAATGCCGGTGGCCGTAAATGGTCAGTATCTTCCTTGGGAATTTTCTATTCGGCAATAATTATTCCTGAAACAGAAAAATGTATATATGAGTAAATATGTTCAAGTTCGGAGAATTTTTTAGGGTTTTCTCCCAGTTCACACAAAAAAATATATAAGCTTAATATAAAATTTTGTTTATTTTGCTTAGTTTGATTAATTTCTAATATTTTACGATTTTTAGATTTTGAAAAAAATAATCCCATTAAAAGGTATACATAAATTCACATTTACTTGTTCTCCATGAAATTCTACAACTTTTGGTTAAGTTGCAAGCCAAAAGCTTGAATGGTTACTACATGAAGAGCTGTCAAAAACAAAAATAATTTATAATCTAGATTTTTTCAAAAATATATTTTTTTAACTTATTTTAACAGTCATAACCAACATGTTTGCCCAAAATAGTAATGAAATTTCTTCGAAATGTAATATTCTATCTATCAATGCAAGTTTTATCAAAATATCTTGTCAATTTTTCAATCTAGAGGTCAAAATGTTCAACAGATACACTGAAAACCTAAAAAAAACCTATTTTTACGTACAAATAGAAAACAAAAGAGTTAAGGACATATGCTTATAGGACATTTTTTTCCTAGTTTTAATCCAAGGAACCATTTCCCGAAGTTTGTCAGGGTTCCCGTGAATCGCCTGAATATAAATGTGAAGTGCTTAGTGTTTCTGATGATCCTCGAGATATTGGAGCAATTAAAAGGTGCAAATGGATCGGGTCATTCTCGGATATATAGAGTTGGAAATGTGATATCTAAAATAAAAAATAACTGCGAAGCTATAACAATTATGTGTCTGTTTGACGGTAAATATGGGTGTTTACAAGGAAACCATCTGAAAAACCACTAAACCAGAAATAGAAATATATAGAATACATTTAAATGTTACAATCAAAGTACTGTAATCGCGTTGTTCCCACAAATTATTATAAAAAAAATCTGTTTTTATAAACACCAGGTCTGTGTACAATGGAGGAGAGGAGTTGAAATGACTTTCTTGATATTATGGTAATGATGTGTTGCTTTAGCAATTAAAAATCACAAAATCAGGAATGACACGCTTATTTTTACCCATGATTTTTAACACCCAGGTATAGTTTTGTTGCTACTGTCACATTTAATCAGTTTAAAGATTTTAGAGTAATTGATTTTGAACGTAGGATGAAGTAAATTCTGAAATTTCAAAAGCTCAAGCTCAAGGGAAGAAAAATCAAGCCTAAGCTTTGGAAATCCCCATTAATCGTCTGGGTAGGCGAGTAGTTATAGTACTCACCTTCGAACTGGTTAGATTCCAAGCGAGATCGTAACTTGACCCAATTGAGTTATTTGGGTTAAAAGATCAACGCTAGACAGTAACGAGACCGAGTTTTTTTTACTATTCCCTTACAAAAAACTTTAAAATTGCCTACAAACAAGCAAAATTAAATTATATAATAGATTGTTGATTGAATTAAAATCCTAAAACCAATCCTGCACTGAACATATTGGCTGCTGAAATACATTAAAACAAATACCTTTTGCTAAAGACTTGTAGCATTTAATGAATCGGTGAATATTGAATAAATACATGTGTTTACACTACAACATCAATGATATTACTAAGAAGAGGAAAGTGTATGTAAAGTTCACCTTCACCAATCAAAAATAAAATACTCAAATACTACAGACTCAAAGCAATACAGGAATACAGCAATACAGGAGCAACACAGCAAGAGAAAAAAACATTGTTGCAAAAGTGACCGCAAACAGTTGCAAAAGTGAGTGGATAAGGCAAGAAAAACGAAATACGTCAACAAATATTCTTGGATTTCATTAACATTATACATAAACAAATACTTTAAATCTTAACTTAGATTCTGGCATAAAATACAAGAGGTACTAAGAATCGGTTTTGAAAACTTTTGACTAGGCCTATATCTTTAGACTTTTCTTAACTCTATATCTATGTATTTGATATCCTTGTCATTAAATTATAGCGTTAGTTATAATCTAACATTTTGCGAAAGTTGTGCATAAATTAAGATCATCAATGTGCTCCATTGAGACGATGTGAGCTAGTTTATCTGATAATAGGGTCATGTAACTTTATATCATTTTGGTTTGGTGTTGTCTTCACTTCATTTTGTTTTGGACTAGCCACTCGATCATGATTGCAGTTTTTGTTTAAATGTAGGTGTATCTTCTCTTTCTTGTAATAAAAAATATGCGTTTTTGACAATCTTACGAGATTTGAAAATTGTATTAGGCTACGAAACTATAAATTTAATAGACAGTGGATTGACGACGTAAAAGGTACAAACAATTGACCATTATAAATCCAATTGAGTCATTATAAATCATTGGCGGCAATTAAATGACGCAAAGGAGGTACACTTTAGACAAATCTTTTGATAAAAAATGTGCATGAAATAACCCTTGGAGGCGAAAAAAAATTCCAATCACTTCGGCAATCTCTGGCCCAATCCTCCACAAACATTTGTCAACTTTTGGTGCTATCTTGTCCGAAACTGGTAAACACTTAGTCCAACCTAACAAATCTATTTTATGCCTAAAGTGGTTTACCAAATGTAATCAATTTTTTTGTTATCATTACCAGTTAAATACTTTTAAGACTGTTATTAGTTTTAAGAAAGGACTATTATAAATGTTATAAGAAGAATGACGAATTATCTGTACATTTATCTGTAAACTCTGTATGTTATGTGCTAATAAATATGATTTTAAATCTAGAAAACCTAGTTTTTACATAACCCAAACCAAAAACCGGCAGATAAACAGATACCCAAAATAAGCTGTTTAGGCACCCAAGCTTCACACATCTTATCTCACCCATCATTCAGAGTGCTGGTCGATTCTAACGTAACCGTCGAAGTCGTATTGGATGAAATATTTGAATCTGAATCATCAGAATTAGGGTCAGTGGGAAAATCTGATTTTTCACTTTGCTCTGATAATACACCACCAGCCAAAGATTTTACGTCAAGAATCTCTTTTTGAGATTCACCACTACAACTTTGATTTCCTTTATCATATCCGTCGTCAGGCTTAGAATCCCTCCTCGTCGGGGTTTGAGTGTCTTTGTCCAGACCTAAGACTTTATCTCCGCTCAGTTTGGAAGTGTTTTCGATTTTTGACAAAGCGTCTATCTCACAATTGCTGGAAGAAAGAGGTTCTTTATTTCTAGAATTTGACTAAGGTGTAAAACAATAATTTACACTAAAGAATTACCGTACGATGCCTTTTCATTAGCCAAGTGAAGAATCCTAACGTTGCTTAAGAAGTGATACCTCGTATCTGCTGATTTGATATTCTGCATATTTGATAAGTTTGACGATTTCTTTATCAATTCCTTTTTTAGGTTATCTATTTTTTCTTGTCTCTTTCAACAAGAAATGTGCTTATTTAATTAGATCAAAAACAAAATAACTGTGTCCTCCTCCTCTATATTTGTGTAATAAGAAGTAAAACAGGAGTGTGTGTGCAATTCCTATTAAACTCACTAATTCTCTCAAAACTTCCACCCAAGCCGGACACGTATATTTAAGGTGGGCCCTCCCACTGGCTAAACCACACATTAGTTAGTAAGCTTAATATGGATTGCACACATACGGGAATTGAATCCATGCATGTAGAATGACTTGTCTGTGCAACTCGTTAGTAAAGCGCAATGTCACCATCGGCCAGCTGAGACGAGTGCCACTAAAGACTGAATGCAACTCTGGTGCTCGTAGGTGCGATTCAACGATTTACTTAAGCATCAGTGGGTTAGTGCAGGGCTTCCATGCAAAAATGGGTAGATACGGGGTATTCATTCTTAAGCAACGATTATTTTTACTATATTTGAGTTAGAATAAGATTTGAAAAAGAACAGAAATCATATTAACAAATGTTGTAAGTAAAAAGTTACGAAAACTGTAGTTTATGTTTTTACAGGTTGGTAACTGTTCAGTCTGATCATTAGATTAATTTAATCAAAACTTTCACGTTCAAACAAATGATTCTAATGTTCTTTAAGAAAAAAATCTGTACCTTTTCAGTGAAAATTTATAGTAAACTCATTTGTGATAAGCATAGTGGTACTTTTTCTGTTATGAGAGGTGATATTAATTTATTTAAAAATATGAGTAATAAAAACCTACAATGTATGGTTGTTTTTTCTTTAACTAAATAATTACTACAAAAAGCAACCTAGATTATTATTATTGTGCCTAGATAATTTACAAAAAAAAACTACATAATCTGTCTTGTTATTTTTCAGTTTTTGAGATCATTCAGCAATTTCCGTGATTTCAGTGACTAATAACATTGTCTTTACACAACCTTTATAACAAAAACTAACTCATTCAAAGTGAAATGAAACGTCAAGACACAAACGGACAACACAGTGACTTACGTAGTCACTGTATGCTGCCGTATTTACGACACTCGTTAATGTTGTGGAAGGGATCGTTAACGTACTGGTCAGGTCGGTTGAGGTAGTTGTTCAGCGCTGCTTTCAGACGTTGTCCAAACGTCATGTACTCCAAGTCGTTAGCCTGGGCGAAGTCAAAGTCAGCAACTTCTATCGTATATCTGAAACATAGTGAGATTAGACAGACCATTGGGCTTTCAAACATTTTCCTGTCTATGTTTTGTCTGTCAAGTAAATAACATGGTTTTAACTCATCCTTCTATAATTTTTTGCTTCAAACAACACACAATCATACTCATATAGAATTGATTGTAATTTGTTTTGCAATGGATGTTGTTTTGTTACAGTAAGATTACATGATAAGCTAATATCTCCAGCTTTGTGTTTAAGGACATTATTTGCAGAAATAAACCTTTTGGTCAAGTTTAGGAGATCTTTTGGATAAGAAAAATGCCCTGATACCTATCAATAGCCTTTTTAACTGACTTCCCCAATACCAACAAAAGGAGGAGGGCTTTTAATTTGTTTGTGGCGATGTTTTTTTTCTATGTATGTTCACCAATTTCTCTGTGATTCTTTTACCAATCAGCGTGGTTCCACCACCAAAATAACCAGAAGAGTTTCTATTTGGTCCCATATATATATTATGTTTAAGTGTAATATTTGTTTCGGTGAAAAATGCTGAAAACCACAAATATTCAACATTTATTTTGTTTTTATCTGTGCAGAGAAAGCAATAAATAATAATAACATTCCTACAGCTGTTAGTTGAAACCATTTAAATGAAGCTACAGACAATTCATGAAACAGTTGCTTCATATTGACTAATAAACTATTTCTTGCCATGGAGCCTAAATAAATTACATTGAAAAAATGCATTTTGTTTTGGTTACTATAAAAAGGGTATTTTAAGGTTTGACCTGATTTGTGGATACAGTAATTCTGTTTTTAGTATTGAATATTCTGACTTATAAAAACATACATGTTTCAGTGAATAGCTGTATGATATTGACAAATTAAGGTGTATTGTGAAAACCAAAGCATTCGTAAAACAGGTCTAAATATAAATTAAATGCAATTATTCCTTACATGACCTATGAAATGTGAGGGTGCATAATCGTCAATCGTCTTAAAAGTGTTAAATATTTTAATTACTTACTAAACATGAATTTGCAGATGTGGAATGTTTATTAATATTCTCTACCCAGTTGCTATATCATATCATATCAATACTATTACGCCTGCTTCGGAAAGTCCTAGAAGAAGCTGATTTGCAATTTCGACTACATCTTGAGCAAACAAAACCACCTACCCGGCTTACACCACTTTTAGCTGAACCAATCTTTCATATATCTATTTTCCAAAGGTAATATACGTGATAACAACCAATTTTCTACTTTTGAGAGATTTTTTAGTGCTGGTAGCTGAGGAATAACTTTCATATTGTCCCAAAAGGCTTGAGACGTTAATGTATTTCTATTTCTTTTTATAATGTAGAAGTACACCGATTGCAGGAAAAGATGATGTCTGACATTTCAAAAAGACATTTAGATTTTCATTAGACCTAATTTAATGGACAACTCTTTGTTTTTTAAGGAATATCTAAAAATGTTTTATTTTTATACCCATTGATTATGTAACCTGAACAGGTGACTCAAGCAGTTTTAAAATAATGATTGTTCTGTGGCACTTTTGATTGTTTCAAACAGTTTTGCTTATCAAAAAACCTCAAGTAATTATTATATAACAAATTATACAGTCACTAAAAATCATGAAATAATTTATTTCTGTAAAAAATACAACCGACTTCAAACGCTCTAAAAAGAATGAAATAATTTCAATTAAGTAAACTTTTGTATTAGTCAAGCTCACGTATTTCAAGTCGGCGCGGCGCGGCTCTAACTGCAAATATGATTAAAATAAAATATTGTGTGTGTATTTTGAAAATCAATCAATTGTATCTGGATAAAATAAATATATAAAAAACATACTGAACTGTTTTGTTTATATATCAAAGGAAGTATTTTCTTGTATTTTATGTTTACTTCAGAATGAACGCATTATGAAAATAACACACACAAATGTTCTATATGAATAGGAAAATAATTTATTTTGATATTATGATAGGGAAAAGAAGCTAGTTTAATATTAAAACGTTACTTTTCCATGTTAGAAACATTTAAATGCATTATAATCTTTTTAAAGATACTCGTTAATACCACTATAATGAGTCTTTGGTTACGGTAATAAAATAACACCCAACGCATTACTATGAAAAATACATGCAGATTAACACCTTTAGTTATAGATAGTCACCTGCAATTTGGACATCCTCTTTCTATTTTGTATGAAAAATCATAATAGGGCCGTGCCGACTTAAAATACGTGAGCTTGACTAATACAAAAGTTTACTTTATTGAAATTATATTATTCTTTTTAGAGCGTTTGAAGTTGGTTGTATTTTTTCAGAAATAAATTAGACTCTCTAATATGGTATTTCCACTAATTGTCACAAAATAGAGACTTTTTAGACGGTTCTCAGTGACCTGGTACTGCTTTCCAAATGTACCAGAATCAAGAGAGAGGTGATGTAAAATTTAATTTCATTGTTTAATATCCTTTGGGTCCCTAAATCAGAATTTAGGCTCAAATGGTTTAAATTAGCTATCTCTGTCATATGTTTGTGTTATGTGTTTATTTCAATGGTTCTGACAGACCTAACGAACTTGAATTGATGACTAGATGTTTTTGTCATTTTTGAAGATGGACGCTAGTGTAGTCTGATACTGTAGTTGTGTTCTACTGACATAGGATTTCTTGACAGAGCTAAGTAATTTAAACTATTTTCTGGAAAACCTACAGAGAAAAGGGGAACCTGCACTAAAAGGGTTGAAGAAGTGTATCAGCTGTTTCACTTGCACTATTGTTCCATGAGTAGATTTTATTTTCAATAGTTAACACAAAACTCCTCTTACCTATGCCGGCTTTGCATGTAGTAGGCAGCTCCGAAGATTATCAAGATGACAGCTATCCCTGAACACACCACGGGAACCACGATCACTGACAACTGGGGGTGCTTTTTCACTGAAAGAATTACATGTATAAATACTGTTTTTAATTTTATTTTTGACTAGCTGTGTGCCCGTTCTACGGACGGGGATCTTGTAGTCAGTTGAAACCTTCTTATATTCAAAACAGCAGTTGGTTTGCATATTTCCAGATATGCTGGAAAAACCATTATGGGACATATAAACCTTCGCAAATATAATATCTGACAGTTTCAGGCCAAAACAAATACTTCAAAATTAAATGTCACCCGTATTGTGTTGGTCCATATGTTATATCCAATGATTAAACTAAAAAAAAAGCTTTGTAGATCCATGGGGCATAGCCTAAAGGTAGGCCTATAATTGAAAGTTACTTTCCATGCACTGGTTACAAGTAGTTAAAATACTACCTCAACCTCACCATTGAACACTTCATTTCGGGTTGACATTTTCATTTTTCTGTGAAACACAAGAGAAATAAGGACATTAATGCTTTACCAACAGACATACGACATACACACAAAAATGCAGAATTTAATTAGGGCATTTGCTACGCTTTAACCAAAGCAAAGTTCATATACAATTAGTACCGTATTTGAAATCTTTGTTAGTGTCATCCAATTTTATCATAATCGTATTTACTTGTCGTGCAGTGATAATGCCGTCTGCGATAACAATTTATATTTGCTTAATCCAAAGATGACCCGTAATGGTGTCTAAATGACGGCATACTATATGAAATGAAGTACTAAAGACAATTTAAATTGGTAATTTACAATAAATAGGCCACAAACTATTGATATATAAACAATGTAAAGCATAAACAATTCATTATGGTTTTCTTAACAAATGTTTTACTCAAATGTGTTATCATTTTCATAGCATAAACTAAAATTTTGGTATCCAAACAGGTAGGCCTACATACCCAAGAGATGGGCTATGGGCCTATTGGCTGTATGGTCCAGTGATTGCAGCACATAGCAGTGAGTAGAAACCGAAAGTGACACATTGGCAAAGCGAGTTTAGCATCATCCGTAAACCTCTGTTACAGTAACCCACTGCGTTTACACAACCACCATTGAAGCGCCGTCAATGAGTGGAAACCTTGTTTCTATTGGCGACGATGATTTTAAAAATGTAAGTTTCCCAGCCCTATACAACACTGATTCACGGTCTTTTTCCTGGTTATCAAAACTCAAGAAAAATTTGATACACAAAGAATCTCCGGTTCCTGACCTGGATGATGCCTAGTTATTTAATTTAATTTACGGTAACACGGTACACTTGCGATTAATTAAATCCGTTATGTAAGGAAACCTTTTAAATCTCACTTGGTTTGGATTTGCTTACAAAAAGTGATCGGAAATGGTTGCGGTATTTGTAAACAACAATTAATGTAAATATCATTGACAACTAGAAAAAATCATCTTGATCCAAACAGCTGTTCGTTATTTCATAGATGACGTACTTTCCAAACAGATGATTAGTATTTCATAAATGACGTATGTGATAAACATTGGGAGAAAGCTTGAAAAAATCTCTCAAAAAATTGGGTTTTTGGACGTCCGTCATTTTATTTACAAAGTATTGAGGCCATATTTTTTTGGCTAAAGACCCTCTCACTAATCCAGTGAATCTATTAAAATTATTTGAATCTTGATAGGTACTTTCGATTTTCGGGAGAAGGCCGCGTAAAATGCTTTCTGGGTCGTGACAGACAGACAAACAGAAATAATTGAGATAAGACTTGTTTCGGCTTCTTTAATACATAAAACGTAAAAATAACAAAAAAATATATAGTTCTGAGCAATGTACAGGCAAAACTCTAATTTTATTAATAGATGAGAACACAAATTTGCAAACTACACAAGAATGGTTTTGGTATTAAAGTGGTTGCTAACTACTTTTTAAGAAAACAATATTAAATTCTACACTAGTGCTGTACCTTATGTTGGCACACCCCGCTAAACATGTAATTATTTATCTGAGAATATTTCAAGGGCACAAGATGTTACATTTGTAAAGACGGGTTGCAGATATTACCTCCATTTTTCTACATATTCACAGATGGGTAGCCGAAATATCCGCACCATTTTTTTTTTAAACAAATTTTTCAGCCTTTAATAACAAATGACTATTTACTAAAAAAAATTTAATACCAAAAACATTCTTGTTTAGTTTGCAAATTTGTGTTTTCATCTACAATTATTTTATTTAAGACCAAAAGAGTAAATATATGTTTTACAGTGGGGTTTATTAGACGTCTTCTTTTCAAAAAGAGATGAAAATACACAAAATGAAAATAGACTTTTTTTCTGGGTCAGTATGCCCTCAAAATTTCAAACCTGAAGATTGCTGGTTTGATCTTGAACATAAGAGTCAAATTGAGACATATATGTCGTTTGTCATTGAGCTATTAATTAATTATACTATCTAACAAAAGGTCGAAGTTAGATAGTAACAAAACCAGGGTTTAAACCGTTTTCTAAAAGGAGTTCAAAATTGTGAATGCTAAATACTAGGAACAACAAATAAATAGTAACATTTAACCACTGTATTTATGCTATAAATAAGAGGTGGACCATCTTACAACCGATGACCAATCGTTCCTATTCAATAACACACACCCCATCTGTGGCTGATATCTGATGATACATTAGCAGTTACACTCACCCTCGTATATATTTACTCCCACCGGAGTGACTTTGTGGGACACGGAGTTGCTGATGATGATCAACACTGTGTAAGTACCAGGGTAGTGGATGTACCGCGGCAGCATCAACTGGCAATCTGCAAATATTCTACAGTCAGTACCAAAGCGGTTATTAGGTTAGAATCTTATTAGTGTGACATATTGTGTGTAAATATATATAGCAAACAAATTAAAACACCATAGCTGACACACAGAACTACACTCGAGGAACCTAGTGGCACGAGCTAGTGGATATAATAGCTCCATACAAGGGCGCCGCCAAAAGTTTTACAAGAGGGGGGGGTAGGTGGGTTACAGGGAAGTTCTTTGGTGTTAAAAGTTGACGTTTTGGCCATTTTTGCATGTAAATCTTTCTTGACAATATTGCCCCCAGAGAATCATACCATCACTTAAAACAGATTTAAAAAAAGTTAAATAGGCTTCTCTAACATATTTATCAGGTACAACAGTTTTTAAATTATCTAACAAGTATAACACTCTAGACAACTTCTTACAGACATAATCAACATGGGAAGACCAGGATAGATCACTATCAATAAGCACACCTAAAATCTTTACAGCCTTGTTTTCCACTACCTCACAACCTATATTCTTATTTTTTGTTAGGCAAATAAGATTTTGTGTTTTGTCTACATTTAGAACTAGGTTATTAGCACCAAACCATACACCAGCTTGCTCCATTGTTTTATCTACAGCTATCTTAAGACTATTGTAATTTGAATGTACAGTTAAAAAAGTAGTGTCATCCGCAAACATTGTGGTTGAGGATTCCTCAATATGAAGTGGCAAGTCATTAACTGACACCAAAAAAAGCAAAGGGCCAAGAACAGAGCCCTGAGGCACCCCTGTCAAAACTTTAGTACAGTTTGAATACTTTCCTTTTACATCTACATATTGTGACCGACCACTCAAATAAGAGCAAACAAACTGAAGAGGACAACCACGGATGCCATAGTGCTCCAAAAAATCCACATACAATTGTTACAGTTGGAGGAAATGATGCATGCTTAAGGTATTTTTTTTATCTGTCACCTTCTACCTTTTTTATGACTTTTCATGAGGGATGGAAAAAATTGTAGCATCAATGTTGAGGACACAACATCAAACCTTCCATCTGAGTTTCCCGCACCCCTCTTCGTTAATTTCCTTAGGTAACTCTTTTACAATATAGGTGAGAAGCCTTGTATGATATTACAATTCAGTAAAGTCAGGACGCCTTGACCTTACGCCTTTACGATGCCCTTTAGGATCAGTAAAATTAATAATTTTGTTGAATTTTAAACATCTTTGTTTCTGTCATTATTCATATAAAACAGTCAAACGGAAGTAACATTCATGCATTCATTCATACACCAATTATTACCCATCATATAAAGATGTTATAGGTACTGTATTTTTTTCTAATTACTGTAAATCAATTTGTTTTCATGCAAAACTTTTATTCTCTATCTTCAGACTTATTTAATATCCCCAAAAACTTCTTAAAAAATGTAGGCAAGATGGCTTGTGTATGTTTTTACAGATGCTAAAAAATAAAAATCTCTAGAACCAGTCTATTATGTGTCATCTTAGTCTGACCTTTCATTTGTTTAATGTTAACTTTGAGATTGACAGTATAAACATGTGGTAAAGAAATGATGATGTAGTGATGAATTGGAAACCCCACAAAGGTCACTCTTATACGATGAATCATAATTGGTGTGGTTAAAGTTAACTGATAATTGTTATCAATTATTACAAACCCAGACAACAGTTTGTAATGTGTAATGTGCAATGCATTACTCATTCAATAAATTATGAGTAAATTATGAGTAATTTGTTTGTAAACTATTTGGAAGTGTAAGCATTATCTTTTACAACTGTAATGCGATGTTTCTTAAACTAATTTGTGCTATTGGAATGTCAATAATTTATCGTTTTAGTCATTATTGTTGTCCCAATTATGTATAGAGTTTTCAGTATGAATAAATAAGTTATAGGATAAAAGAACATAAAAAACAAGTTTTGTAGAGAAGACAAAAGTCCCTCAACACTGCTGCCCTGAAAGTCGTAGGATGAATTTTAAAGCTGCTAAAATTGTCCACAGGAATCTTAAATTTTTCAAAAGAAAACCTAGCCTCATACATCAAATTAGCTGACCAACAACAAATCAGCCAACAATTAATCAGAATCCAGCCGTTATGGCCAATCATTGAATTTAAGGATATAGGGAAATTATGTTTTGGGAGTGAGGAAAATTAAAACCCCTTTTCAAAATGTATACACCATAAAGCAAAGCCCATGAGAGTCATCAGAAAAATATGTAAATACCTTTTAAAAGACTATTTTTCAAATTTTTCACTGCTTTTAAAATCACTTTGCCATGTTGATTGTTTCAGGCAGATGGGCAACATTTAAAAATATTGTAGCAATCGGTTTGGCCATTTTCAGTCACCATCTTGTGCTGGCGTTTCTATTGAGTTCGGCTAATCTTGTTTTGTTACTATTAGACTATGATATTGTTTATTTAAAAGTTGTAGTGGCTACTGACCACTTGTACATTAAAATGTTACATTTCACACACAATTGTTTTATTTACCTTTTGATTTTAGCTATTCATTTGCCTTACTACAGAATTACCAATATTCATATTTCACATAGTTATATTATTTATTTAATTCATCTCTCTTATTACAGAATTTACGTAATTACAGTTATTTTCTCATCTGTAGTTTGAAATTTTTATATTCCAAAGCTTTTGTGTGCCTACTACGCTACTACACAGTTTTCTTGTTGGTGTTTTCCAGCTTAAAACATGATAGGCCTATACATCTTTTACCAATCATTATGAAAAATTTTAAAAATAATATCTTTAAAACAAATTGATTGGTATCCCACCTGTTATAAGTGTCTCATGGTTGCACGTCTCATTGCCTGTGACGTTGTACTCTCCCACCATCACTTGGAAGCAGTACAGGAATGGAGCCGAGCCGTTACACGACACTGACAAGTTCAGAATGTCTCCGTGTTGGAGCCAGTTGTTGCCTACCCAACTAACACTCGACACAGGCGCTGCAAAATAATTATCAGTTTACAAAAGCTTTTATGATTAAATTCAGGAAAATAAAATACAGTAAACTTCCTGTTACCGCAAAAACATCAAAATAACAAATCTATATCTATAATATGTATGTATGTATATACCCTATGGACTCCTAAACCGCTCGACATATTGTAATGAAACATTCAGGCATTATTCAAGGATGGTTTGTGTGAAGTTTGGTGCAGGTCCGTCAAAAGGGCTTCGCCCCAGAGGGTTTTAAGGGGTCCAATGACAGACTTTAGGAACTACAATGTTTACAAATAAATATAATTTAAAAACATATGTTTACTTTCACCAACTGTTTTGTAGGTGTGAATAATAACAACATTCTGTATTAGTCATGATTTGAAATAGTGCCACACTGTTTCCACAGAATGCAGCACAGAAAACTATTTTACTTTTGGATAGGTCCAAATATATTAAACCTCAACCACAGCACACCTGTGCACTCAACAATGTTTAAATTCACCACTATTAAATATGTAAACATAAAAATAAAAAACTTGTATTAATATTTTTATCTTTTGTTCTATACCCACAAAATCTAACATAGACTATTAAGTGAATAATAATCGTGAGTGCAATCTCAGGTATTCAAATGCCTCCCAATTTGTCATCAACCCACCACATTACTGACATTAAAAGAATGAACTCCAATACAGTAGAACCTCACTAATCTGACCTCCGATGGCCCGACTCCTCGCTTGGTCCAACCGTGACTGTACCGCCAACACAAAAGGATTCCGCTAACATAATCTCACTGTCCAAGAAAAATACCTAGAAAACTTTATTAATTATGTTCTTTTAGTCTAATGTGTTGAAATTTGTTGTATATTTAACCATTTCTGCCCATTATTAATAATAAGTAGGCTCCCACATTATTGTTTTTGAAAAATCACAGTTCATTTGACAAAAATAATTTATAATGGTTTAAATACCTGCATTCAGTAATCCAATATGCTGCTTGTGGTAACTATAGTTTCGGTTCACAAGGAACCATCTTCAGGCCGTACAAGGCGTCGTTATTCACTTTCATATATGAAGGTCGTCATTTAATAAATAAGTACATAGAACACGAACACACGAAAACGCACATTGATACAAACATTTAACATTAAAAAGACCGAGTACTCGGGAAAACGAGACAGGTGACGCGACCGGGTGGAAGTTGTAGCTCGAACTGCAACTTCCACCCGGTCGCGTCACCTGTCTCGTGTTCCTGAGTACTCGGTCTTTTTAATGTTAAATCTTTGTATCAATGTGCGTTTTCGTGTGTTCGTGTTCTATGTACTTATTTATTAAATGACGACCTTCAAATATGGAAGTGAATAACGACGCCTTGTACGGCCTGAAGATGGTTCCCTGTGAACCGAAACTATAGTTACCACAAGCAGCATATTGGATTACTGAATGCAGGTATTTAAACCATTATAAATATTCAAACGTAATCCGGAGGCTAACAACTCTTAAAAATGAAATTAGACAAAAATAAAATGGAAGCAAAACAAAGGATTGTCGATCAAAGCTTCAAGGTCAAGCTATCCGTCTGCACTGACAATCGTCTGCTCCTTAGGCCTACACATGACACATGTCTGCTGTACGCTTGCCGCTTGCTATATCACAACATTTTGTGATTGGGTATTTGGTAATCATGACAACTTTAGTAGCCTGTGATTGGGTGATTAGTAACCATGGCAACTTGTTGAATGGGTGGCGGTGGATGAAGAGAATCTCAAGAAAGAATATAAGAACAAAGAGAAAGAATAAGCAATGTTTTTATGTCATTGTTATCTATATCGGTGTATTTTACGACTGTTGTTATGCTATAAGTAGGCTACTATTATTTTATACTTTTTTTAAGCGTTATCTAATGTTTTTATCGACATTCTTCTGTACTGAAACAACGTAGCAGTAGCCTATGACAAGCAGTAGCTTACTAGACTTTCTTTGTTCCGTTTATTATTTTGCTGTACAACGTTTGGCAATTTGTTTGTTTGAGTAAAAGTTTGAAAAAGCTGTGATTTCAAACATTACAGTTTTTTTTACTGAACCAAGGTTAATGACATAACATAATTACTATAATTGCACAATAGCCTACTAATTGTATTTTTATGATGTAATACCGGTATGCAAATTAATTAAAGTCCATTTAGGCTGGTTTTATGCACCGCGACAGTCGCGAGTCATGAGTCGCGGCACGACTCAAGTTCTATTGAGTTAAATGGGAGCATTTATGCACCGCGACAGCGACAAAGTGTCGTGTGAGCGACTCAGCGATCTCTAAATACCCGCGACAGGTTTTAGAATCGCAACTTCACAAAATGTGTCGCAATGCGAAACTTAAATCCACCCAAGCTGTGCAACAAAACCAGACTGACAAAAAAAAAAATGACACCAAACTTGATTGAAGCAACAATCATCATAAGTTTAAAGGAGAAATAGTCTTAATCCCCAGAATACCGATGAATTATCAGAATTACCCTTTGAATTCAAGCGACTACAATTTCCTTTGCGTCTTGCTTTCGAAATCACCATTATAAGACATAAAAGGGTTTTTTTACCCTGACTATCACCGGTTTAAATTTAGAAAATGCATGCTTTTCTACATACAGCTGTATGTTGCGTGCTCACGAGGTGGTAGGTACGCCTAAAAACTTATATATTTTATACACCTCACCTAATGAAAAAAGAAAAAACACTGTTTATCCACTGGCAATTTCTTTACATAGGAAATTCGCTTACAGTCCTACGATACAGAACATTTACCTGTCTATGACAATCTCATTGATCTCTCAAAAAAACTGAATCTACTAATTTACCATCTCTAGCCTATGTAGGCCTAAGTTTTACAAACTATACTTTTTGTTTTGTTTGGATCTAAAATTTCTAGAATGAAAACTACAATCATGACTACTCATCGTGAACTAGGCACCGAAACAACTTCCAACTGCTCATTTAAAGACTTACTTTATTTGAAATTCCATCCTAACATATTGGGATTAAGTATCTATAATCAGTGTTAATAAGAAATGATACACTCGAGTTTAACTACCAACTCACCTTTAACATCCACCTTGGTAGAAAAGTATCCATACGTCTTCTTCGGATCCGGAGCTATAATTGAAGTATTGAGACAAACATAAGGGAGAATTGGAATCTCAGAAACGTTCGTTCCAAGCTTCAAGTTAGGCTGCACCAAAGCTGTTATGTTATTGGAGGGTTTGACTGTCGTAGTCGCAGCTGCGGTTGTAGTGGTGGGGGGAGTGGACGTAGGTTTGTCCGTCGGTGCTATCGTAGTCGTTGGAGCAGGTGTGGTAGGAGGAGGGAGGGGTTCAAAAGACGCCACGACCAACGCTTCCACATGCCTAGAAAAATATATTTTTTAACAACTTCACTCAGTTTAACATTGTGTCACTAGTATTATTGTAAGTTTGTCAAAACATTTTCTTGAGAAATTGTAACAATAACACCATTGAGGCACCATTTAAAATCCTAATTTCCGCTCACTATTCACTTGAAATACTATAACAAACAGTCTTATTGCAGGAAAAATCTGTCAAATTAATTAAAATTCATGCCTATTTTCTCTTTTATAAAGTAAGGTTAAAATTTTGGCACATAACATTTCAAATGTCTTACTTGTCTTACAATTTTTTTCTTTATTTCATTGATTAATTTTAACATTCATATGATTTAACATGTGCCTGACAGATGACCAGTCATTAGTCTCGATATTTCATTAAAAATGTCTTTGTTTTTAAAGTTTTATGTGCTTATTAACTGTGATCATTTTTCTTTCCCGAACACATGATGGTTGCTTCTCTTAAAGCATGAACCAGCTGAATTAGTCATATTGTCTTAGATCGTTCGACTTAAGCTCAGTATGAAGGATGAGTGTAGGGTGAGTGGCGCGATCTTGTAGTCTTGTTAGCGACTTAGGTCAACATGTTCCTTGGACACAGCTGTTAATTAACCCTAGCGCTGGCAAACGCCGGAAATACGTCGCGAACGGCCGCGGCCGAAATGGCAACGCCGGATATACAGCGCCAATGCAGGTGTTACAATAGGCCTATATATAATATTTTTTTTTTTTTTTTTTTTTAGTTTTGTTCACTTTTTGGGGCTACTGTTGTAATAAATAAGTTAATAATATACAAACCAGAGTACCCTGGAATTGTACGGTTTTGTATATGACCTGGGTTGGATGATTATTTGGTACTAGCGCGGGGGTACGATCGACATAGTAATAGGGCTTATCAAACAAAATAAGCTATATAAACTATATATTTTTGGAATCAGCACAAAATTTACCACAACTTTACAATTTACCTTATGATGATAAGTCTTACATGCACTTAGCTATATAAAAACACTAGCAGAGTACCCGTCCTTCGTACGGGGTTGGCATATAAGTTTAAAATGCTTATTGCAGTTATACTCAAGCTTTGCGTTTGCAATGGGGAGGACAAAGTTTGATAAAATTTGCTTCTTTAAATTGACGGTATACTATGGTATTACACATCTACCAAAGCCATAATGTTCTACCACTTCCCCTAAACAATAAAAACAAATAATAAATTAATAAAAATTCGCAAAAAAATCACAAACTATTCATAACATTAAAAACATAAACATAACTATTTTAAAGTGCATACCTTTACATCCACAGTTCAATAGTATGGTCAAACTCACTACATGTTTCACCTATACATAGGCATTGTCAAGTGTTTCATCCAATGCAGACTTCTCAAGAACCTTCAAATAAATACACATATACGACGACACATTGTACGACAAAACATTTAACAATTAGTATGCCTACTATTAACCGGTCGCAGAACGGTGGCAGACTCATTTATTTAAATGTTCTTGACGAGTCTGCAATGGATGAAATATTCTTGATGGATCACTTTACAATGCCTATATGTAGGTGAAACAAGTACATAGTGAGTTTGACCATTCCTATATGTAGGTGAAACATGTATGTAGTGAGTTTGACCATTCCTATATGTAGGTGAAACATGTACGTAGTGAGTTTGACCATTCCTATATGTAGGTGAAACATGTACGTAGTGAGTTTGACCATTCCTATATGTAGGTGAAACATGTACGTAGTGAGTTTGACCATTCCTATATGTAGGTGAAACATGTACGTAGTGAGTTTGACCATTCCTATATGTAGGTGAAACATGTATGTAGTGAGTTTGACCATTCCTATATGTAGGTGAAACATGTACGTAGTGAGTTTGACCATTCCTATATGTAGGTGAAACATGTACGTAGTGAGTTTGACCATTCCTATATGTAGGTGAAACATGTATGTAGTGAGTTTGACCATTCCTATATGTAGGTGAAACATGTACGTAGTGAGTTTGACCATTCCTATATGTAGGTGAAACATGTACGTAGTGAGTTTGACCATTCCTATATGTAGGTGAAACATGTACGTAGTGAGTTTCACCATTCCTATATGTAGGTGAAACATGTATGTAGTGAGTTTCACCATTCCTATATGTAGGTGAAACATGTACGTAGTGAGTTTGACCATTCCTATATGTAGGTGAAACATGTATGTAGTGAGTTTCACCATTCCTATATGTAGGTGAAACATGTACGTAGTGAGTTTGACCATTCCTATATGTAGGTGAAACATGTATGTAGTGAGTTTCACCATTCCTATATGTAGGTGAAACATGTACGTAGTGAGTTTGACCATTCCTATATGTAGGTGAAACATGTACGTAGTGAGTTTGACCATTCCTATATGTAGGTGAAACATGTACGTAGTGAGTTTCACCATTCCTATATGTAGGTGAAACATGTATGTAGTGAGTTTCACCATTCCTATATGTAGGTGAAACATGTACGTAGTGAGTTTGACCATTCCTATATGTAGGTGAAACATGTACGTAGTGAGTTTGACCATTCCTATATGTAGGTGAAACATGTACGTAGTGAGTTTGACCATTCCTATATGTAGGTGAAACATGTACGTAGTGAGTTTGACCATTCCTATATGTAGGTGAAACATGTACGTAGTGAGTTTGACCATTCCTATATGTAGGTGAAACATGTACGTAGTGAGTTTGACCATTCCTATATGTAGGTGAAACATGTACGTAGTGAGTTTGACCATTCCTATATGTAGGTGAAACATGTACGTAGTGAGTTTGACCATACTCCATTGAACTGTGTACATAAAGGTATATACCTTAAATAATAGTCTAATTAAACAGTTCAGGGGCTAAACAATGAATTTTAATTAAGAACCATTTGATGAAGTTTAGAGTTACTTGGATGGAACTTAACAACACTAACGTAGTGAGTTTGACCATTCCTATATGTAGGTGAAACATGTACGTAGTGAGTTTGACCATTCCTATATGTAGGTGAAACATGTATGTAGTGAGTTTGACCATTCCTATATGTAGGTGAAACATGTACGTAGTGAGTTTGACGATTCCTATATGTAGGTGAAACATGTACGTAGTGAGTTTGACCATTCCTATATGTAGGTGAAACATGTACGTAGTGAGTTTGACCATTCCTATATGTAGGTGAAACATGTACGTAGTGAGTTTGACCATTCCTATATGTAGGTGAAACATGTACGTAGTGAGTTTGACCATTCCTATATGTAGGTGAAACATGTATGTAGTGAGTTTGACCATTCCTATATGTAGGTGAAACATGTACATAGTGAGTTTGACCATTCCTATATTTAGGTGAAACATGTACGTAGTGAGTTTGACCATTCCTATATGTAGGTGAAACATGTACGTAGTGAGTTTGACCATACTCCATTGAACTGTGTACATAAAGGTATGTACCTTAAATAATAGTCTAATTAAACAGTTCAGGGGCTAAACAATGAATTTTAATTAAGAACCATTTGATGAAGTTTAGAGTTACTTGGATGGAACTTAACAACACTAACTTTTTAGAAAGGTTAAAATTAAAACAACTTTTTCTGTAAAAACTCTTTGTTAAGAAAATTGTATTTCACTTAAATAGCCAACTCAATATCACCAAATTCTTCCTAACACTGTTGCTTGTACTACCTAACCAGACTTACCAGACTGCCCAGGCCTAACCTAAAGTCAAGTCTTGCCAAAACGACTGATTAAATATGTCTTACCCAGAGCCATATTTCCTTAACGGCGGACACGGCGGTTGCCGGGGGCCACACTTGGGGGCTCAAATTTCTTTACTTGATCAATTTATTTCACCGATAATTTGTTTCCTGCGATCACGAGGGACGTTAATTAAATCTGCGGGACCGCACTATTTCGCCGTTAACGTAGGAGTTGAACCTATTCATCTGCGGCGATCGCGGAACATGATCAGGATTTTATTGCTACCCCAGGAGTCGAAGTTCATGTCCGCGCATACTAGGAAAATCTTCACGATTTTGTCATGATCGGAAGAGACGAAGATGATGTTTTTCGCACTTGCGCGAAATGTTAACTATTCCTCTGCGGCCATAGGAGACATTCATGATTCCACCGTGATCGGAGGAGACGAAGATGATATCTCCGCGATCGCGCATGATGTTCACTATTTTGCCGCGAACGTAGAACATGTTCACAAAATTTTTGTAACATTTTGGCTGCAACTTCAGATTTTCTATTAAGTTGACCTGATTATAATATATCAATTAATACATTTTAAATTAATTATTTCCAAACTCACCTGATTTTGATCAACATTTTTACTCAACCCTAAATAAATTACAAATGTCGGACTTATTTACTTAGCTACAGTAGTCTCCTAGGTCTTTTTTCCGATCGGATTATTATGGAAAGTAAACGTCAATTCATTGAGCTGAAGCAATACCACGTGTATTTCTTATACCAAAGAATCAGAATATAGAGGGGCCACTCTATAGAAGAGAATATAGAGCTGCTGGGGGCCTCATCGATTCGAAATACCCCCCCCCCTGGATTACCCATTAACCATATCAAGTTATCATTCCTATGGATCAGTTAAAAAAAATTTTAAGGAATGTGTCTGTAACATTTAATTAACATCAGCACACCCAAACATAACCAAGATACTCAAACCAAAACAGGCTTAAGATTTTACCAGACAATATGTCTACTAGGCTAGCACTACTCAAAGTCATTGATATTGCCTGTACAACAATTACGAATACTTACATAGTTTGATCAGCATCGTTTGTGTAGTTATACTTGAACGAAAGGTCTGACGTTGCGCCGTAGTAGATACAGCTGACGAACCAATAAGCGACCACCGACGTAGCTTTCTTATCCAGAAACGATTTATCAGGCTCGGAGAAGTAGATTGTATGAGTTACTTCTGTGGCAGAACTGACAAAGTCTTCCGTCACTGTTTTATTGTTCTGCGTCATGTTCATTCCGCCGTTGAGAAGTGCTATAAAATATAGTTGCTGTAATAGTTTATTCTCAGACACATGGTCAGTAAATAAAGTATACTTTACACCCAAATGACCAAACCCATTCTTGGCTTAAAATAAAAAAATAAAACTATTGAAATATGGCTAGTCTATTTAATAATCAGTCAAAGTTTGATAAGATACACAGGTACCATAGTGAGAAGAAAGTATAAATTGCATATTACATATTATGAATGACAAAAATTATTCTTACAACACAAATATGATTATTCCAAATTCTGTGTACCGGTAACCTAAAGTTTACAAACTGTATTTAGAATTTAGATTAATGTAGGCCTAGAAGTAACCTAAGTTGGCCAGCTCATTTCAAAAGCAATTAGAGTAGGTAATGAAAGTTTACGATATTCAAATCAATTGTGTAGAATATTACATATTAGAACTTACCCGTGAGATCAAAATAGATCCTCTTACTACCAATATTCCATAAGAAAAACGTCCATCGATATATTTCCACTTGAACCTCATAAGTGCCTGGGCTGTAGTCGTCTTTGTTGTATGTTACCTCCCAAGACGCCGAGGTGAACTGTCCGTCAATCTGACATAACATTTTATTGTTACAATTGAGCAACAAATCATCAGTTTCAATATAGGCTACTATAGGAGCTGATATTGTAAGTATTATTTAACTATGCATCTGCCTACAAGCCCATAATAGTCTTTAACTGTTTAGAATAGTTTATACATTTTTAAGAACTTTAAATGAAACCAACATCTGGGTGAAATCTACTATTAATCTATTCATTATCCGAAAAAGGTTTTTATTTTAATTGAGCCTCCAATAAGATGTGTCCTACCAAATCGTGTGGTTAGCCTACACAAAATTTGTTATGGAGTCTCATAAAAATTTAATTCAGTTAGTTCAAATTATTTTTAAAATATGAGTTCCTGTTTTCTCTATATTTTTTTCCATTTCATTTAACTCTATTTTGAAGAGGCCGGCGAACACTTTTTAACCTTTGCATTTGCCTATTTACATAAGACTCTGGCCTGTGTGGAACGCATCAAGCTACAGTACAAGATTGTAATTAAATAGCCTACTGAAAAATAAAAGTGGCAACAGTTCACGATGGGAACCCACAACGCTGCCTTACATTCCTAGATCACGCTACCAGCTAAGCCACCAACTCAGCAACATTATTTCATAGTATCCCAACAATAGTTGACATTTTATTAGTGCTTCTCATTTTAACAATAACCATATTGGGGATGTTGAACTTGAAAGTTTGAATTGCTCCACATTAAAAATCCCAAATCCGTAAGTAAAATTTAAATATGGAGTCAAATAGGTATAGAATAGGAATCCAACAGGAATTTAAAGTGATCATTTATTTTTAAAACAACTTAATCATAAACAATTTTTTAAGCTACGGTATTACAATACTCACTGTTTTTGAGTGTTGGGGAATGGCATTGTCTCGAAAGCGGAACTGATATTCGCCACTTGCATGATGTCCGTTGTCTTCGGTAATTTCTGCTCGGAATTGCACAGTTCCTCCGATGACCACTGGAGCATTGCTGGTCAAGCTAACCCGCCAGGCATACCCTGAAGTACAGTAAACAAATTTAATAATTTTACATTTAAATTTACAAAAGAAAGATAGTTGAAAAGCCATTAATTAAACTCCAATATAATCCCATAAGCTAAAAAGCAGTAGCCTAGGCCTATTGAACTCAGGTCACTCTGAGTACAATCAATTACAAATCAAAGGAACTCCTAAAACACCCCTTTCTGATCACTCTGTTTCTGATTTTGAAGCTCCTGCATCTAGATCGTACCAAAATGGGAGAGGCGTGCACAGATTATCTTGAAAACCACCATGTAAGAACCAATACGTATTAGGCTCTATTAGATTTAGAGAGCATTAAATACAAGTCATCATAACAACCCCACATCAATGGTAGCCAAACACCTAAAACAAAATCCAACTCACACAATAACTTTTCTTGATTCCCTCATAATGCTGAATAAAACCCACTCAAAACATAACAAAGCACAAAGTAAAAAAGCAAATTTGGTAACTTAGGCCTATATGCTACTAAAATCTGATACAGAAGTCTACCCGACTAATCTTTGTACAGTAAAGGTTTGTCTAAGTATTAACATCGGCTCCAGTCCCACCCTTCCCCACACTCAAAGCAATGTGAAAAAGTAAGTGAAAACCAACAAACCTATTTCTTAAAATAGTGTTTTTGAACTACAATAGGGGTACAGGTTCTTAACTGGAATAGGCCCTACGCTAATATTGATTGATTGAAAATATCGATTTGATTGGTAAATCTTCTTTCGATTTTGTTAACGAGGCCTAAGTTATATAAATTAGGCTATAAAATGAAACGGTAATTATGTCGACCTCCAGTCAACGCTCTAAAAATTAATTTTTTTTTTAATCTGTTCGTTTTTTAATGCTGATTCCAAAAATGATATTCATTTTTTGCGGAAACGTCCCGTTTTCCCGGAAAATGGGAAAAACGGGAAAATTTTCTTTGCCCAAAACCCATGTTGTGGGTACTCAAATTGTGCGGAATTTCCTCCTGAACAAGAATATGTAAGTTTTATTATGATCAGACCACTATTAAGTAAAATATCACCGGAAAAGCGACCGCGCTGGCTACTTATGTAGGCTACTGCCGCGTGGGGATAGCATTGCGGGTGACTCTAAGCCATTGTAGAATGCGGGCTTTATTTTGGGTTAGGATTGGTTAGGTTAGGTTAGGTTAGGTTAAGCCTAGGTTAGGTTAGGTTAGGTTAAGTTAGTTTAGGTTATGTTAGTTTAGGTCAGGTTAAGTTTGATTAAGTTAGGTTAGGTTAACCCTAGCAGTGGCCAATGTTAGAAGTGGGGAATGGCCAACCCATTTTGGCGATTTTGCAGACCATTTTTTGAAAATTCGTAAAAATTCAACCGTACAAGTAAACCTAGCCAACCTCATATTCATTTTGTTCGGAAAGAACAGAAGAATCTAGAAATAGTAATATCATAATGATTTAGACAGTGTATTTTATCGGTAAAGCGAAAAAAATAAAAAAAATTGATTTTTTTTTTTTAATTTCAAAAGCGGCCTCTGCATTTTTTTTCTACGGATTTTTTTATGGGAAATTTATTATATACATTTTGTAGACAATCTAATTCCCTACATAGAAATATATAACATGTTAGGAAAATATTTTTTTTTATAAGTTTTTGGGGCGAAATATAATGACAAACGGAGAACCGAAAAAATTGAAAACCGTACAGTGTTAGTTTATGTTGTAAAAAGTTCTATAATATATGTGTATACTAATAATGATATATACATGTTTGTAAAGCTAATGAAGTAAGGAATCAAAAAAAGTCATAAAGTTTATGGTAAAAATAATTTTTTACCTATAAACATACGTATATAAAATAATGTTTTTATATTTTAGCGATTTCTCGAGAAAAAAATTCACAGTACTTGGTATACAACTTTTGTACCAAATTTGTTTACTTCAAACCAACATAATAATCTTGTAGTGTATTCAATTACCTACATAAAAATGTATAACATGTTAGAAATATTTTTTTTTTTGTAGGTACGTAATAGGGACATAATAATACAATAACCGCAAAACCGCAAATAAGTGTAAACTATAGCCTACAGTGTTTGCTTGTGTTGTGAAACATTATGTAGGCTGATGATATGTAGCCTACATATTTGTAAAGCTAATGAAGTAAGTAATCCAAAAAAGTCATAAGTATGATGGTAAAAAGTTATTTTCACCTATGATTATGTATCAATTTGAGAACGTTTTGAATTTTTTGCGCATTTCGAGAAAATGGAGTGTACAGTATTTAGTAGCCTATATAATTTTTTTACCAAATTTTTTACACCCAAACCAATATAAACATGTTGTAGTGTATTCATTTACCTTTATAAAAATGTATAACACCTTGGGTAAATCATTATAGGCCTATAGCATATATAGCACCTCTGAATGTCAGAATCGTCATTTTTGAAAATGATGCTAACAAAATACAGTAGGTAGTAGGCCTATTTAGTATAGGCTATAACTTTTTTACAAAATTCTTTTTATATGCATAAGAATATGCCCCCAAACCATTATAAACATGTTGTAGTGTATTCATTTACCTTTATAAAAATGTATAACACCTTGGGTACATCATTATGTAGGTACAACAATCTCTGAATGTCAGAATCGTCATTTTAGGACATGATGCTAACAAAATACAACCTTTTATGAACACTATTTCACACAATTCAGTAATATTTATGCATGAAGATTACTGTTATACACACACACAACACTTCACTAACACTAACACTACGAACTAATAACATATTTAGTAATAAATCTCGGATAACACTATTACCGGCAACAACACAAACAAACAATGGCAATACAAGACAGCTGACAGACTGTAGCAGTAATGACTCACTTTCGTCGTCTACATGGAGCATACAGAAATAACCCTGAGTGCAGGGCTGCCACTCTCTGAATCTAAATTTCTTCCTCTTCAAAATGATATACTATATGACTAGTAATAATAACTTTCACTGTATATAATTCGTATTTTCCATACTGTCACCAGACGACTGTTGGCCATTTGTTAGAAATTTCGAAAACAGCTGTTTTCATAAAATCGTACCGATTGTGCAATCAATATTTAGTTATAAATATCACTACCACAATGAAGATAAAATCAATGGCTATCCAGTGGTACCACCCGCAACATCCCAAGACGAAAATTACCCGAGCAGGGTAATGCCAAACAAGACGTGTTTTGCCAGTTCCCAAGTGTCGGCTGCAAAAGTCGTACCGCGCCAAAATTTCATTTGATTTCTAATCGTCGTGACATTGTTATATACCTGCTACAGGGTTTGTTTATGTAATCAAATGAAAGTTCAGAATGTGATCTTTCGAATGGTATATATATTATTCTCATCTGAGTTGATTGTAAGTGTTTTTTTACCGTTAAAAAAATTTCGGCCCATACCGTCACCAGACGACATTGGCCATTCTAAGCATCAACGTCATACCGTCACCAGACGACGGTTGGCCACTGCTAGGGTTAAGTTTAGTTTGGTTAGGTTAAGTTAGGTTTGGTTAGGTTAAGTTTGTTTAGGTTAGGTAAGGTTAGGTTTGGTTAGGTTAGGTTAGGTAAGGTTAGGTTTAGTTAGGTTAGGTTAGGTTAATTAGTTTAGGTTAGGTTAAGTTTGGTTAGGTTAGTTAAGTTTATCAATAACATGAGTTTTGTAAGTAAATGGACCTAAAATTGTGGAATGCGGGCTTTATTTAAGGTTAGGTTAGTTTAGGTTAGGTTGAGTTTGGCTAGGTTAGTTTACTTACAATACTCATGTTATTGATAAACTAACCTAATCTAAACTAACCTAACCAAACCTAACCTAACCTAACCAAACCAAACCTACTTAAACTAACTTAACCTAACCTAAACTATACTAACCTAACCTAACCAAACTTACCCAACCAAACTTAACCTAACCTAACCCAAAATAAAGCCCGCATTATACAATGGCTTAGAGTCACCCGCAATGCTAGTACCATGCGGCAGTACATAAGTAGCCAGCGCGGTTGCTTTTCCGGTGATATTTTACTTAATAGTGGTCCGATCGTAATAAAACTTACATATTCTTGTTCAGGAGGAAATTCCGCACAATTTGAGTACCCACAACATGGGTTTTGGGAAAAAAAAAACGGGACGTTTCCGCAAAAAATGAATATCATTTTTGGAATCAGCATTAAAAAACGAACAGATTAAAAAAAATAATTAATTTTTAGAGCGTTGACTGGAGGTCGACATAATTACCAATGAAACTGTTAGCAGACAACCTAACCCAACTAACCAAACTTTCTGATAGGCCTAATGAAAAAGATTTAATGAAGGTTTACCAATCAAATTGATACTTTTATTCTACCTATATTAGCATAGCCCAGTTAAGAAAGGCTGCACTTTACTTGACGTCCTACACTCATTCGAATGAAAATATCGATTGCTTCATTCGATATAGGCTATCGTTTGGTTAGTTAGGTAAGGTTAACCTAACCTAACTAACCAAACGATATATCGAATGAAAATATCAAATCGAAAAAACAATCGAACGAGTGTAGGACGTCAAGTAAAGTGCAGCCTTAAGAAATTGTAAACCCCTACTAATCGAACCGATATTTTTAATTGTTATTAGCATAGCCCAGTTAAGAAATTGTACCCCTACAATAGTTTTTGATATAACCATCAGTTAGTTAACTTGAGGGTTTTACTTTTATGATGTGGATGACTAGGCCTACATATCAACTTAACCCAAATAACTTAATAGGCCTAGCGAATTTAACCCTAAAAATATCTCTGAAATTAAGTTAGATTTTTGGTGGATTAAACAGCCTATTTTCTGGTGAAACATTATGTACTTAAGTACCTAGGTAACAAATTACTGGGTAGGGCCTTAAGCAGTATTAGACTACTATTTGGGTGGACCGATGCTTCTAGGTGTCGAATGAGGCAATTCAAACCGTGAATTCATCTACTCACCCCAAACTGTTGTTATGATTCAAGTAACTATCACTACTTAGCCTAGGCCTATTAGGCTAGTAACCTTACCGAATTAATAAATTAGGGATCACTTGAGAAAAATGTCACTTACCTGATGACACAATGCTAAGGAGGAAAACCAAATGTAAATTCAACATTTTCCTAGAATTTCAATTCACATCTTTAAAAAAACTGAAAAATAACATTACTGTAAAATACGATTTTCGATTAAAACAAGACTGCTTGCCCTTCACAAGATAACGTGTATAATCATAAAAAGTAAACGATATTGACAGTAATAAAATGTTTATACTTCGTCTGAGTCTGACAGCTTGTAGACAAAAATTACACGAATTAATAATTTCTCACATCACATCCAAACAGCGAGATTGAATTGAACAAACAAACATTAAACAGACAGAACTCTTCTTCAGTCCTTCAGTGAAAAGTGAGTGACAAGACAACGACAAGGTAGTTTCCTGTATTCGGTAGTTTGGGGTCTGACTTAGGGGAGGTACGATTGAGGCATTAGTACAAAATTTCTCCGTAAACAGCGCTGTAGTGGAGAGCACTTTGGCAATGAAGGTTTACTAATCGCAAAAATAGTTCTGTTCATCAAATAAAATTATAAATGCCTCAAATTCAATTTTACTATTTTTTAATTAATTATAAAATTAAACTATCATAACCTAACCGAACTAACCAAACTTGCTGATAATGAAATAATATAACAAAAGTTTAGTAATACAAAAAATAATTCTGTCTATTAAATAAAACTAGAAATTGTTCAATTAAAATTTTAAAATGACTTAATAATAAAAATTAAACTGTCATAACCGAACCAAACCAACCAAACTTGCTGATAATGAAAAAATCTTGGACAAAAAGTTAATGCTACCAGCGGGATTCGAACCCGGGACCTTCAGCATATCAGCCCGGCACGCTAACCACTCGACCACCGAGGCCGATGGCTAAACATCGTATTGTTACGGTAATGGCGTTCCCTCATCTAATAAGAAGCCCACAGCTGTCATCGTAGCCTCTTCTATACCTCCCCTGAGTAAATACCGGTAGGTTGTCACAAAGACAGCTGGACAGCAGGACAGCTGAGGCAGCACTGAGGCTTTTATAGAAACGAGTTGTCGACAAGATGGGACTATTTTAGTGTCGATCTTTTGGGATGTCGATAATCTGGAACCCCACGGCTGATACTGATAGTACACTACAACCGACTGATTCGGATTCGGATCGAGATTCGATTCGATTGACTAAAGTAAAGTCAAAAATCAGACGGAACAGACTTACCGTTTGTCAACAAATCAACAATAATAACAAAAATGCCTTATATTTTATTTATATAGATAGGTTATGTATATGTTTTGGGCGATAAAGGATTCTAAGTTAGGACGAAAAAGAAAAATATAAAATGTTTAATTATATCACATTAAAAGTTTTACCCGCTGTTTGCAAATTTAGCACTGGAAGAGTTGCATTCAAAGAACAATTAAAAAATGCTCAAAAATTTAAACCTAGTTCTCAGATTTGGCTTTCAAGGCAGTTAAATGACAAATATGTTAAACAAGCAAGGATAGAGCACTACAGGTTAGTAATTTAAATGGGTTCAAACGAAATTACTAAGTACATCAGACTAGTTCCTAACTTATTACATTTGTGAAGTAGTCCTATAACTAGCCTATGCTGCCTAAACAAATCTACAAATTGCCCATCGTAATTTATGGCATTTCACAGTCAATTTCTTAGGGCTGCACTTTACTTGACGTCCTACACTCATTCGATTGTTTTTTTTTATTCAATATTTTCATTCGATTGTTTCATTCGATATATCGTTTGGTTAGTTAGGTTAGGTTAACCTTACCTAACTAACCAAACGATATATCGAATGAAGCACTCAATTAATCGATATATCGATCGATATTTTCATTCAAATGAGTGTAGGACGTCAAGTAAAGTGCAGCCTTTCTTAGGAGTTCTCATTAGACATTCCAAGCTAAGTTGACATTAACTTAATTAATATATTAAGTTATATATTAATATACCTACCAAATATGTTTTAGTAACGCAGAGAGGATACGCGTTCGGTAATCGGACGTGGATTAGGCGTCCGCAGTTACTGTTAATGAACTTGCCTGATAATAACTTTCTGATAATGAAAGAATCAAATGAAGGTTAAATTCTGTTCGTAAAATAAAATTATAAATGCCAAAAATTCTAACAAAAGATGCAAGTTATAGTTAAGAAGAAATGGCTTTCAAAGCAAAATCTTTGACAAAAAGTTAAAGTTACTGATGAGATTCGAACCAGGGGTAAGTTACCTCTTGCATATCAGCCGAGCACTCTATCCACTATACCACGAATACCGATGGCTGTACATCGTATCGTGGTGGTAATGGCGATCCGGGCCCCCACAACGCGGTGACGCTACTGCCGGACGCTTAATGCACGTCCGGCATTAGGGGTTAAAATTGGGTTTTCCCATTTGTGACCCTGAAAACAAAAACATTTGCAATTTCTTTTAAAACCGTTTTGTAGAGCTTAAAAAAAGAAATAATTTTGTATATTTATTAAAGCGCTGTTGTATGGCTAACGGTCATGGAAAAAATTAAAAAATAGTGTAGCCTAATTTAAAATTCCCATGTTATTCTTAAGGTGAAATTTAAAACTGTTGTAGTTTAAGTTACTTGTTTATGCCGGATATATAACTTAGGCCTATTGATCAAATTTGGCAAATTTATTTATTTCATCCTATATACTATTGACATATGGTCAAAAACACTTTTTACCTTCCCCTTAGCAGCAAACCTAAGCTCTTGTTAAATCTAATGTTATTTAAATTGGGAATAAAAATGTCTTATTTATGGAAATATTTTAGTGAAAATGTAATCAGACAAGTTGAAATTCGCTTAGTCTGCAGGTTTGCTGTGGTGGGGGTATTTTCCATAATATTAGGTTTGGTAAAATTGGTGATGGTTCATTTCTACTTAATTATACCCAACAATTTCTCACTCTTCCCTGTTTAAGGTGTCGCAGTGCATTTAAACTGATAGAGATAAATAAGTCGTATAGAATATTGCGGCCAGGACAAGTAGTGGTTGATCTCGGCTGTGCGCCAGGAAGCTGGACTCAAGTTGCTGTAAAATGTACCAAAGCAGACTATCCAGGTAGGCCTATGTTAATTATTAATTTAAAGTAGTTATGAATAAGTCCTCCTAGTGAGAAAAACAAGGAATTTATTTTCTTGTAGGCCTACCCATAAGTTTATTAGTTTACTGCTCTCTTTTTGTGTTTATCTTTTTTTATAGGGTTGTGAGCAGAGGCAGCCTTGGGTGCTGAGTGCAAACATACAGAGCGGAGCCCCTTACTACCAAAATCATAGTATCCCAACAATACTAACTAACAAAAATCTCCATGTATACGTTAATATTAGTATTTGCACTCCCTCCTTTTAGCGAATTTCCCTATGGGGAAGTAGCTATTACCGTAGATGGCACAGTAAGACCTAGGCCTGGGACCAATTTACTTTTTCATTTTGATGTCCCCAGAAGCCAAAAACACAATTCGTTCAAATTGTTTTATATACCTGTGTGTGTGTGTGTCCGTAAACATGATAACTTGAATTCGTGAACCAGCATGATCGGACTATGGTAACACAGTTTTACGCGGGGTTTTATGGGGTAAAAATTAGTTTTTCTCATTGTTGACCCTCAAAACATAAAATTATAAAATTTCTCTCTAAACCTTTGAGAGCTTAAAAAACAAATAATTTAGTAGGCCTACATGGTGTTTAGTATAAAAATGGTGTTTTTGTACGGTTATTCGTAAGGGAGAAAATATAAAATAATTGTAAATTTAGAATTCCCATGTTATTCTTACGGAGAATATTCCATACTGTTTCCTTGTACAGTAGTAGCAAACCTAGGTGCTCCGTTAAACCTAATGTTATTTAAATATATTTGATTGAAAATCATTTAAGACAAAATGTAAATTCGCTTAGACTGCAGGTTTGCTGCGGGGGGGGGGGCTATTTCTTTCTTAATTGGTGTAAGATTGACAGACTTTTGACAATTTTTTTTTGTATTTTGCACCAAGCGCCGGTCCCTTTGCAGCCGCAACACTTTTGCACGTCCCTAAGGCCGGCTCTGTATATAGCTGTAAATGTATATAGCTAATTGTTGAATACATTTAAACAAAACTTAAAGGGTTTTATATTTTAATGTGGGAAATAACCAAACAAAAATCTATCAGGTAACATTAAATGTGAATGGTAAGAAAACCCTGAACTACTACGGAAAAATATTGCACGTTAGATCAGCTGAATGGTAAATATGGAATGTGTCTGGGATAAATATGCTCAAACATGATAAATTATTAATATACTGAACAATTCATCTGATGTTGTAGGCTAAGTGTTCTCAATAAAACAATTAGGCCTAAGGGTTGTAATTTTTCACACACCAACAGATATAGCTCGGTTTGTAAAACATATATTTTAGCTCCATGCCATGTGTATTTCAGTGTGTTGAAGCTTGACATTTAGCCTGAGGCCAAACATAAAAGAGGGTGCCTGTTTTTTTCTAAACTCAAATTTGAAATATGCGCTAGGGGACAATCAAAAATCTGTTATCCAAAAAAAGGTTGCAAAAAGGCTAAAACCAATAGAAATTTGTCTGTATATGTGATAAGTGAACTATAACAACATTAAAATTTAAATTGTAGATGTCACAGCATTGTGACTGATAATGTGACGCTTGATTATTGAGCATACTGGAATTATCATGAAAACTGCCATTTAGCAATAACAACGACATTGGTTTGTTTTCGTCAACGCTGTTGGATCTGTTGTTTGAAATTATCGCTCAAATGCTAGGCCACAACAAGTATTGTGCAACTTGATGGACAGAAAAAAATATTGCAAATAAGATTGAATTAATGTTGGTTGCATCAATAATGGGAATCTGCTTGAAATAAAAATTGAAAAACAGGTCAAACAGCACAGTCTAATGTAAAATAGGAAACTGAAAAACCAAATGTTTGATGGTTTTAATTGCTTTGTTTTGTTTAGTTTTCAGGATGGACACTATATTGTGACAACTTTTATTTCATGCTGAATCAGTTGTATATCTCAACATATTCCTGGCATGTCGTAGATTCAAAGTCCCTAGTGGTGGGAGTAGACCTGTCTCCAGTACATCCTGTAGAAGGATCGGTGTTACTCGGAGGTTTAAACTTCACGACAGAATCGGCTCAGGCTCAGCTGGCGGAACACCTAGAAGGTAAGGGACCAGTGTCATTGTCCACAAATCCATCTAGTTTGCAACGACTGAACTATGAAGTTCTAATTATGTTAAGTTGAATTAGTGGGAAACTCAATGTACTCATTGTACATCAATGTAATGTGGGATGTACATATAAAACATTACTAGTTTCCCTTGTTTTGTAACTGAGCATAATTTCAATGTGTGACCAATAACGACCTCGGATCAGTATCCTGGTTATCAGTAATCCTGGTTTAAGTCTCTAAAAGCGAACTAGTGTGAATGCTATAGATAACATCTAAGTTTACTCTGTCACAATTGACTTTTTGTACTTGCACAGTCTCATTTGTAGTTGAAGGATGCCAGGCTAGAGAAATGCTAAATTTTCAGGAAAAACAAAAGTTGAGATATAATTAAGTGTATTTTTCTTATATTATGGATACGCACTATACTTATAACATTAAAATGTATGAATTGAACTTTTTAACCCATTTGCATAGTCTTATTCATTTACCAAAAATACCAGTCACTGAAACATTAAAGAGAAAAAAAATATATTGGACTATTTTTTATGATGTTTTAAAGTATCTTATAGGTAAAAATCATAATAAAATGTATATGTATATAAAATTATGTATTTTATATACAGGGTTAGTAACAAGTCTGGAGACCCCCTGTTAATTTTTTAACGGCCCATACTAGAAACACTAAACTCGGCACACGTTTTTGTACACCGCCACTTGGTGTACATCCCCGAAATGGGGGATTTTGGGGGAAACACAGTAAAATATGGCAGCCAATTGAATATAAAATTGCAAGTTAATTCTGATTTCCAAAGTTTTCAATCAGCTGCTATTTTTTATTGGATTGATACATAGCCTAGAGACCTCTGGTTTGCGTTGTTAGTTCATTTTTATCAGGACCTTCAAAATGAAGGGTCACTCAATGGGGCTTAACATTTAATATTTTTGAGTTTCCCCCAAAATCCTCCATTTTGGGTTTCAAAAAGTACTTCATAACATATTAAAAAGGTTTAAATACCTGCTATCAAGCAATCCATTTAATTGCAATTCGCTTTCTAGCAGGCATTTAAACCTTTTTAATATTATTTAGTAATCCGGAGGCTACATCCACAATGAAACTTCATAACATGCTATAGAGGTGTGTAGTGTTTAGTTTTCCTAGTGTGAGCCGTTACAAAATTTACAGGGGGTCTCCAGATTTGGAAAGCTGCTAGTTAAATTTAACTCTTGAGAATTTCATTTGGCTGCCATTTTTTACTAGGTTGAGATAGAGACCTCTAGTTTGCATTGTTGGTTTTCTTTTACTAGGACCTTCAAAATGAGGGGTCGCTCGAGATGGGTCTTACCATTTGAAAGTTTTGAGTTTCCCCCAAAATCCCCCATTTTGGGGATGTACACCAAGTGGCGGTTATACCCAAAAAGTACTTCATAACATGACATAAAGGTGTGCCAAGTTTAGTTGTTCTAGTATGGGCCTATTTTTATACATTAGGTATAGCCTATATTTCTTTTAAATAGGTAGGCTACATACCTGTCTGTATTACGTAATTATCAAATCATTCAAGGAATATAATATTTTGACCAACAAATTTAAGTATATATATAAATGGTTCATTTTTTGTAAAAATCAAATTTTCAAATTTCATAGCTGACTTACCAGTATGTCAGCCATGATACTGTACATTACGGACTTGACGTACTAATACGTCATCCAATGCAAATGGGTTAATTTGCAGCTCTAGTCGTCAAGTTCATTCTCATTGTCCGCAGCAGCACCAAATCCAAATGGCAAAGGCAATATGTTAATTAACTATCGAACCTGTATTTTCACTCTTAGGGTCATAATTAAAACCAATGTAGGATTGCGTAGACCATAAAGGTTTGCAGAGAAATCCACCCGGGTGCCAAGTTTGCAGGACAGTTTTGTAGTGTAGGCTTCCTAGACAACCGCCCGCTCATGATTCTCAAACTCAAAACACTCATAGCTACACTAGCAAACAAGCATCGATGATTTGCCAAGCACTGTAAAGTATAGATGTTACTGGTATATTTTTGTATTGTTTAGTAGAATACTACAAGTTATAATTTTGGTCAAATGTGTCTGTTTTTTTTAAACATTTCCATTCATCGCCAATAACATTTTCAATGATATTACCATATATTACTCTCTGAAGGTGTGGACGTTTTACTTTCGTCAATAGTCCAGCTCCGAATTGTCCGAAAAAGAGGGGGTCCTCTGTGACTTACAATATTTACCTGACAAAAAAAATTATAACATAAAAGGCAAAAAATTGTGTTTTTTATACTTACAGAAACAGCTTTACATTAAACAATCCAATGATGCAATTTTATTGAAATTGGTCTATAAATTACAGAAGAGTTTGAAGAACATAAACACACCTATTTAGCATTTACACACAATAAAAAACACGTAACTTACTAAGTATTTAAAAATATCTGACATCCAAACAAACTAATTTTTGTTGTTCAAATCAGTCACTTAATTATCAGTGTAAAATTTTCTTTCCACAAAGTGCAACTCAAACTGAACTCATAACTCTTTACTTGCATCCATTTTCTTTTCAGGACGAGCTGTTGATGTGGTTCTAAGTGACATGGCACCTTCAGCTAGCGGTGTGAAATCCCTGGACCACACCAACATTATAAGTCTATGCTATTCTGCACTACGGTAATTTAATTGATTTTTTATTTAATATTGAATTGATATTAACAAAGAAATGTTTTCAACACTTAAAGAAAAAAGTCATATTTTCTTTAAAATCTGCAAGGTAAACTAGTTTAAATTAACCAGTAAGGGTGATGCCTGTTGGATCTGATCAGAGCGGATCAGTTCAAGGTGTTATTTCCTCCGCAGGAGAGAGCATCGTAGACTGAGGGTATAAAACTATTCTTGGTCTGAGCAGGTCTATAAATCATGAAGAGTTCCCCTGTTTGTAACAGATCTAAAGTAGGGGTCTTTGTGAAGTAAAATAGTTGACAAAGTAGATGGATTGTTTGTATTTGCACCTGAAATGAGGCCTTTTGATATTTTTAAATCGTCCTTTCTGCGTGCGTGTGTTGTCTTATTCATCAGTTTTAGAAAAGAATTTTGATTTTTTGTTCATTAGACAAGAAAAACAAGATATAGACAATAATGTTTTATAAGGAAATTTGTAATAAAGAGACTGAGTACAGAAACACTGTTCATTCAATCAAAGCCATGTTAAGAGAAGGATTCTACAATCCAGCTCCTCATCCTAAGACACCTCTCAGGGTTGCAACATAACAAAATTGAAATTACTAATTTTAACTTGAAATACAACATGACTAAAAATATTAATTGATAATATCTGAGCTCAAGCATTAAATTCATTTTCTTTTGGGTGTAACTTTTATACTAGATTATAAACTTGACATTCCATTTCTCCTTTTCCAGGTTTGCGGAAAAAATGTCTTCTCCTGGTGGATCGCTGGTCATGAAAGTGTTTGACGGAGGTGAGAGTCCACAGCTGTTGAAGGATGCCAAGCAGCTGTATGAAATTGTTTCAATCGTTAGGCCAGAGGCTTCTCGCAAAGAGTCTAGCGAAAAGTTTTTTGTGTGTTTGAAATTTAGGAAAAATTCTGCTAGGGAAATACTTGACCAAAAAAATCCTTAGTCAATATTTTTAAAATAGATTTCTGCTATTTTTACGTAAGATAACTTCAAAACTCTGTTGATACATAAACCATTTTCTTTTTGCTATTATATTAATAAGGATATAAAAAGTACATTTTATGAGTTATTAGTTGATCTTTTTAAGATCTTGAAGTTAATTTAGTAAATAATTTAAGTCTGAACTTAAAATCATTCAAGGTCAACAAAAGAATTGCATAAAATGAAAAATCTTTATCCAAAAAATTAGGCTATGGTTTTATCTATACACAAGATCCTACAAGTTATTACAAATAGTTATTTTATGTTCATCTTCAGGTCACTTTCAATAAATTTATAAATGTTATTTTGCCGTACTTACAGTTATTTCCAGTCACCCCTTTCCTATTTTACAACCCTCGTTCCTCAGGGATAGTTTTGTTTGAAGACCTTAATATTTAATTTAACAGGAAAAACTAAGTTGGGAAACCATGTTTAAAAATAACGAGTGTTAGGAATTTTGTCAACTCATAAGGAAAAGTAGTTTTCAACTTGAGCTTCATTGCCTTTGAAAGTGATTACAACTTTCAAACTTTAAAAGGATAAAAGGTGACAGGAAATCGGTGAAGTTTCAACTTTATTGGTACTAAATTTTATTAAAGTTATGTTCACACCACAGCTAATTTTAAAAGCTGTTAACTTCAGTTGCATTCAAGATCAAAATATTTTACACTACAGTAAATACAATTTCATTAACAAATGTATTGCGTTTTTCATTTATGAAATTGTTGATGCATTATAAACCCATGGCCAAAAAATTGTAAATAATAACAAAAACCTGGTTGTAATAGTATATTTTGTACCTTGGGCCAAAAATGAGATTTTGCCGACTCGAGATAGTTTTTAAGTTCGAGACGAAGTCGAGACAATAAAACAATTCTATTGCAATGCTATAATTGATACTGATTGTCTATTTAATATGATATAATGTTTTTAAAAAGTAAGCGGGCAGCGATTTTCGGCCCTAGGGAAAGGGATGTAAAAACCTGCTCGGTCCGCAAATGACGATGACAGCTGGCATAGACAGCAATACGTTGCTTTCAGCCTCCATGATGTTTGTAAAACGGCTAAAAACATTGTAGTGTGGGGGAAAAATTAAACCTATTGTTGTTGAAAAATTATGTTATAGCATTTGTTCAAACTTTATATCAACTTAATTTTGTGATTACTTGATTGTGTACAAGCAGTTTTAATTAAATCTAAAAATAACAATGATAGTCTCTTGTTCTACTTTTGAGAATACAAGGGTTTTTAAATCATACCAAACAATAGTTTGTACAAGACTTTTTTAATTTTGGTTATTCAAGAAGTTTGATGACAGAGTGGTCTACTGTAAAGACACATAAATCATGTTGTGAGTGTATTTTCATACAAAACTAACCCTAATGACATACATCTATTTACAACCACTTTTTTAAAGTGCTATACAACTACAGTAGTCTTTGGTCTTAACTTGTAATGCCAGTCTAAGCTTGTCTAACTTTGTCTAAACTTAAATATTTCCAGCACCACACTACTTCAGCAGTCTTTTCCAAAAAGTGTAAAATATACTTGGTTTTATTTAATAAAGCTACAATATACTACATTTTAGGAATCTGCACAAACAGTGATGGTCTGTGCTTATTTTAAAATGCTGTGTAATAAGGTAAAATTTAAATGCTACTCTTAATTCGAAGGAGTTACTATAATAGAAATCAGTGACTTAAGTTTCTCAAATTAAAATCATTTATACACTCTAAGAGTTCCTATTTGAGGATATTTAGGATACCACAAACATTATATATATTAATAAATAGTGCACAATAATACATTTAGTAAACAGTGCCAGGAATAATGATCCGATAAATAAATGTGAGGTTTTAAATTCTGCAAATGTTAATTTTCAGTGAGAACTCCTACTACGATACATTTTTACAGCAATAGTTTATGAATATAATTTTTTTAAAGAAAAATATACATTGATTTCTGAGTTTTGCTCTAACAAAGAAATTGTTTATTCGGCTCAACAAAGTTAAATGCTTTTGATCTTAAAAGAACATAAAAAACATTGTTCTTCTCTCAGTTAATATTAAGAATTAATGCTTCACGACTTTAGCTAAATATGCAAAAAGCAAAGACAAAATATTTCAAATTCGAGTGTGGTAAAACATTTACGTTTGGTGAATTTGTACTAAGAATTGACAAACAGAAAAAAACTTTTCAATTCCTTATTTCTTCCAGATGATTTATATGAATATGAAGACAAGACATACAATGAAATAGTATATTTCATAACAAGAGTAGAAAGTGAGTCATTACATATTTGAGACCATTGAATTGCGTGATTTATCGAGCACTTTAAATGATTGAGAATTTGTATATGTATAGACACACTTTCACTCGTGTTTTAAATGTTACTTTTCGCTACACTACAAAGAATAATTATTTTCTTCATTACAAAACTCGTAGAATTAGAATTTAGGTTATGCCTTCAACTTAAAGTTAATGTTTACTTTAGTTTTTGAAAATTGAAACAGTTGATAAAACAATAACAAATATTTGATTGTTTACGTTGGCAAAATCCAAAAAAGATAGTAAACAAACATTACTTTTGCATAGTAAACATTCTTTCGCCCTAGTAAACAATGTATAACGATAGATTTTCACAGATGATAAAAATGCAACGAAAACATGTCATTTCACAGTAGTATAGCAAAAATATGATAAACATAGCTGATTTTGGTTTATCTTTGTAAACAAACTAATTCAACCAGTGTGTCATCTAAGGACTTCCTTATTCCTTTCACTATATAATTAAAAGTGGTTAGTTATAACTGCATTGGATTCCAACAAGAATATAGTCAATGGATAGAACTTGTGTTTCTGTAATAATGAACTTTTTGTGAATATTAATTTTAAACCATAACTAGAGGACCCATGCTGCTCCGGATATAATATTAGAAATAAATATTATATCCGAGAAATAATTAAATTTAAGATTTTTGACTGAGTAATACAGTATCTTGAACATAACTGATTCAAATAGAAGCTCAAATTCAGCCCCATAATTTACTGATTATTTTGACTTGAGTCTAAACACATAAAAAAACTCTAGGAAAACCTTATAAAAAATCATTTTTATGATGGTTGTTCACCTTGTGTTTACTTGAAACTCGTCCGATTTGAATAACTAATAGCTTAAATGAAAGCCGGTATTTCACTGAAGGTTCTAAGACCAAAATATATAAGATTGTATAATTATAACTGATCAAATACATCTTAAATTCAAGTAAGAATTAGAAAATAAATCAAATTTATGTTTTTTGGCCAAGTAATACGGTAGATAAATATATGCTGATACTTGATGTGAAACCTGTGAGGGCATACCTTAAATGTGAGACTTCAATCATGAAAATCGGTCAGGTAGTAGAGCCAAACGAACTTGGAAAAGAAACCCCAAATTTAACTCCCATAAGAAATACATGGGAAGCGAATTTTGTTTAAGTATAAGCCGAGTGGGACTGTAGATAAATATATGCCGATGCTTGATATAAAATCTGTTTATGCATACCTTCAATTTGAGACCTTAATCATAAAATTTGGTCAGGTAGAAGAGCCAAACGAACACGGAAAAAAATCTAATTTTTTAAATATAAGATGAGACATACATAATGAAATCACCTCTTTTCCATTTTTCACTGATTATTACTTATTTATCATTGTTGCATTGATGATTGTGCTAAGTGAAATAAAAGCAGTATAATTAATTGTTGATTAATACTACTGAATGTGAGAATTTTTGAATTAAATTACATCGTTCAGTATATTATTATTTTATTTTAAAAAATCAACATATAACATAAGTTCAGTGTAGATGTTAACCTCCAGTTTGCCAAATAATATTAAATACCCCCGCCGCAGCAAACCTGCAGACTAAGCGAATTTCCATTTGACTGATTGGATTTACACTGAAATGTCTACTTAAAAATATAACATTTATTCCCGATTTAAATAGAATTAGTTTAACAAGTACTTAGGTTTGCTGCATCAGGGAGGGTAAAACTGTTTTTTTTTGTAAAATGTTAATAGTTAGTAAGAAATAAAAACATTTTCCAAATTTGATCAAAATATGTTCATAAAAAAGCAAACTACAACAGTTTACTCATTCTCCATAAGAATAACATGGGAATTTTAAATTTACAATTTTTTGGAATTTTCTCCGTAACCATTAGGCGCATAATAACGCTTCAAAATACTAAGTTATTTGTTTTTTGAAGCTCTACAAAATGGTTTGGAAATAAATTGCTAAATTTTATGTTTTTTGGGTCAAAAATGGGAAAAACCTTTTTTTACCCCATAAAACCCCCCGTAAACACCCGTTCCCATGGTCCAATCATGCTGGATCGTGAACTCGTTCGAATAAACGTAGGTTTACACGTTTGTACCAAATTTCATCAAAATCGGATCATTTTTGCTCGAGTTATCGTGCTGACGGACACATATATATATATATAAATATATAAATATATAAATATATATATATATATATGAATTTGAACGGATGGTGTTTTTGGCCTCTAGGGACCTCAAAACGAAAAAAAAAATCGGTCCCGCGTCCAGGTCTTACCATGAGTACTACGGTAAAAAGATTCAAAAAATACCTGCTATTAGGCAATCCAATGTTGTAAACACAACTAGTTTCAGCACCATCATCAGGCCAAAAAATTCTTCATATTGACTAACACCAAAATAATAAACATTTAAACACAAATACGAGACATTTATGGTCTGGACTCAAACTTCCACCGGGTTAGCGTTATCTGTTTTTTAACTGATCAGTTACCATAATTGTCTCCTATTACTGTTTGTGTCATGTTTAAATGTCTATTTACTATTTTTGTGTTGGTCAATATGACGCCCTTCGTTTGAAGAAGGAAAACCGTCCTTGTACAGCCTGATGATGGTGCCACACAGGTGCCGAAACTAGTTGTGTTTACAACATTGGATTGCCTAATAGCAGGTATTTGAACCTTTTTTAATAAAATGTAAAAGTGTTTTCTTTGTGAAATCATAAAACTGTTTTTATCAACTAAATAATGACATAGAAATTGTGGAAGAAAATTCTCTCGTTATTAAGAAACTTAATTGCGCTGTATACATTTTTAACTCAATCTTCTTATTTTTTTACACTGTATCAGAAAATGTTTGAAATGGAAATAGCAGAAAATTTACCACCCAAGTATGAATAAAAAAATTATTCCTAGAACAAAGCAAACTAATTAACAAACTAAAAATATTTAAACGAATCAACGTGTTAAGAATAATAAATGCACTCTAAATTAAACAGAAAAGCTTAAAACTAATAAAGAATTGTCTGGTTTTTATACAAATGAATAGATTGGTAACCATTTGGAGTTGCGCTTCCCGGAAATAAGATACCGCTGGAAAGAGATTTACTCATGCCATTTGAACCGGTCGCTACAAACTCAATTTCCTGGAAGTTACGTAGTCTCTGGACGTCTTTGTCTTTGCGAATCACCTGAAACAGTTATAAAAACTGATAAGATATCTTAAATCTCCTTTGACAAACTTTTTTGCAATGTTGTACACTTAAAATAAAGGCGTAATTCAAAATAATAATCTACATAAGACACAACCTAAAACATCAAGTAAAAGTTACACTGTTTGTCTCAAAAGTACCACCAGTTATTTATTTTTATTAGTAGGCCTAGAAATAAATTTGAAATATACAGGGAATGTTTATATGATCGAAGAAGGAAGTTTTTGGTGTATGTAAATTTTAACCTCCTCCCCCCCAAAAGGGTAGTTTGGGGGTGAGTCAAAAATGTCATATGGTAAACCTTTATCAAGTTATACATAATAAAAGAAATAGAATTGCGCCAACTAGAGGTCTCTACCTCAATCATATAAAAAGTTATGGCAGTTCAAAGTTTTAATTTTTTTCAAAATAAAATACTTAGTTATGTAAATAAATGAAGAAAGGATACTTATTCAGGTGAAAAGTGAAAAAGTACCTTAATTTGATTTAACTGTTCAAAGTCACAAGAAGTTTCCAATCACAGGTTAAATCCTGTCCGAGGTGATGGGACAAGGGTAGCAACCCTGCTTGACCTCATTTGCCAGGCACTCACTTCAAGATAAAAGCTCTGTCAGTTTGCTCCCGGCCGTGACACTTTCCAAATTGTAATAAAGCTTATTTTATACTTCTAAGAGAAGCACTAAGAATAGTTTGTCTGCCAGTTCAACAACTTCCTTTTTTGATCATATAAACATTCCCTGAATATTATCATTTTATCTCTATTAATAAGAAAAAATAACAGGGAGGTGGGACTTTTGAAACACACGGTATAAATGTTGCATGAAATTTGTATAATGGTAGAAATTTAGCGGAAAGGGTTCAAAATATGAAATTACTGGTATTTTATTCCACACTTCCTCAAATTTGACAACTTACCGTGTCCGGCAGTTTCCTGATGCGAATCACTTGGCTGGGAGTCAGGCCGAGCTCGTCGCAACACGTTCGCAGTAGAGTGTAGTATGTGAGCTCAGTAGTTGGTAACTCTACCTCGATAAAGTCTGGGTCCCCGCAGTTCGCAATACGAACCTTAAGCACCAATTCTGTGGGACAAAAATGTTCAATGTCTCAAAATTTTTGATTAGGTAGTTAATCAACATAATTAAATAAAATATAGCGCTGAGGGTCAAAGAAAAGAACGAAACCACTAAACATACGTCTTTATGTAACGTAGAATATCTTATTTTGAGAAGTGTTGTGTCGGTTAAGGTGATCCTAGGAAATTTACCGTTACCAATAACCGATTATAAAATGTCAGTAACAGTTGGCTACAGTAATTAAATTATTGATGTGTCTTAACATGAAACATTAGACTAAATTGTTATAATCACTGTGACATCATAATTATCTAGTTATAACGGAAGCATAGTGTACAACGGTGCAATCATAACAACATTGAAGACAAATTTCGCAATCACGACAACTTAGCCATCATTTCTTGTAGTTGTGATTATCGTACCATGTGAAAAGAGAACCAATGCAACACCTGAAATTAAAGGTTGCTCGTACATGGAGTTTTAGCGACAAATAGTAATAAAATTTCCAGATATTTAAAATAATAAACGATTCCCAGATTTCCGGTCTGCTGGACAATAAGAGTTGTAGTAAAATTATTTTGTTTGGCATTACAAACTATGATAATTGCAATACTTGAAAACAGTGTGATGTATTATTTAAGTCACAAAGTTAAGTTCTTCATTATTAACTTGGTTTTGGATTTGAAACACAAGAACAGCCAAAATTCGATGGCTGCAGGGAAGGTAAAACTTGTCCTTTCAGTAATCATGACTATAACTGTGATGATGGCACTATTGTGATACTCTCCTACTGTCACAGCACAAATGTTAAACACTCCTGTAATAAGAATCAAGATTTTATTAACCATTAGATAACACAGTTACAACAGGCCAATTACAAAATCGGCTACCACATTCGGGGTAACATTATTGCTAAGAATTTCAGACTAGAACTTAAAGGAAAAAAATACCTTCAATCGGTGATAAATGAGCATTGGCTGGATGACTGGCGGCATGGGGAAGTTCACCAGTTCCGTTTTGTTTGCGATGATTCATTCCGTTGACTGGATAAAGATCGACTTTCCCATTCAAAGGAGGGTTTTTCAGATAGTTGGGCGCTATTGGTAGACTTGGCTCTTCAGGCGATGAACCATCAGCACCTAAGAAGGAATTATTATTTTAAAACACTATAACCCATAAACATTAATAAAAAATATAGTGCATAAATCACTGCTGACTAGTTTTAATCAACTTCAATAATTAAGAAGCTTGATCATGCTCATAAATAAACAGTTTGTTGTCTGATTTCAGTAAATTATTAAATTCCTCGGCCAGATTGATCATAGTGTCCAGTAAACAGTCAATTTATTATCTGTGTTAAGCTGATATTTACTTAACGAAAGATTAAAGAAGTTAACCGGTCAAAATTGGGCAGTTAATTATCTAACGACGGTTTAGTCTAAACTAGCTCTAACGGCGAGTGGTGAAATCTGATTTCGTCAGTTAAGAGCTAACTGCTGTAAGAGCAAGGCTTAACGGCGGTTTAAGTGTTTGGTGAAATCGGGCCTTAAAAAATTATGACTGTTGTATAAAAGCTACTAAAACTAGTGGGAAAGCTCAAAGGTGATTAATCTAGAAAACAGCTGCGGGGTTCTTCCAGAGCCGTAGTTTATGGCCTGATCTAGTCTCAGGTAGACTGACACTTAGGAGACAGGTACAATACTACAAGACAGGTTAAATACTATAGTTAATTATTGTGTAGTCACTAACCTAAAAGCTGACGAACTTCAGGTTTTGTTGCCAATGACAAGGGAGTTTCACCTTTCTCTGCTACTATAGTTTTGTCTGCGTTGTTGCCCAGTAAGATCCGGACGATATCTACATGGCCTCTCTTGCAGGCCCAGTGTAGTGGAGTCCTACAAAAATAAAAATAGATATATTTGTAGAAACACATACTGTAACTATATCAATTTTAGAACTCCTACTAGTGCTAGTAATTATTCAGAGAATGAGTGGCAAAACTTAACACGGCCTCTTTGTTAGTATAGCCTAGGTAGGCTGGGTAGGAAAGCCAAGCTCTTCTACCTATAAATGAAATTACTAACTTATGTTAAATATGATTAAACAAACAATGGGACTATCAAAAAGACCTTGGTAGAAAGCAATATTAACCTGGCTTATTATGCTAGTTTTTATTTATAATGCCAGTAATTTATTCCTTGTGGTTATATATATTTACCCCAAAGGCTGAATACAAGATGTATTAACCAAGAAAATTACCTGTCTATGCATGTACACATGTAAATTTGACAAATAAATGTTTTATGTCTTATGTCATAGCTAATCGGCAAAATCTGTGATGGGTTCAACTTGTTACTTTACTTTAAAAAAACTAAATACCCCCGCCGCAGCAAACCTGCCTAGAAGCGAATTTCCATGCTTGAATTGAATTTACACTAAAATATCTCCTTAAAAATATCACAATATGATTCCTTATTCAATTACTGTAGCATTAGTTTAACAAAAGTACTTAGGTTTGCTGCAACAGGAAGGGTTTAAAAGTGTTTTTTTTTGTGAAATGTAATACAGTATGTATTTTAGTATGAAATAAATGCATTTTCAAAATTTGATCAAAATACTGTATGTTCATAAACAAGCAAACTACAACAGTTATTTATTATCCATAAGAATAACATGGGGATTTTAAATTTACAATTAGCCTATTATTTTAATTTTCTCCGTAACTATTCTAAGGTGCATATAGTAGAACCTCTTTAATCCGAACTAATTGGGACCGGGGGTAGTTCGGACTATTGAATAGTTCAGATTACAGAACATATTGTTGTTTTTACATAACAATAGCTAGGGAAAAGTGAAAAATGCTTTATAAAGTAAAATACAGTGTTTATTTAATACAGTAGTAAACATAGGGAATAAAAAGTACTGTACATTACAATTGAAATAATTACAGTGCGTATATCAATAAATACAGTATACAATAAAGAACTACTGTACTGTGTAAAGAGTACAGCAATGAGGCGTTCGGATTACAGGGGTTCGGACTAAAGTGGTTCTACTAATGATGTTTCAATATACTAAATAATTTTGTTTGTTATGCTCTATAACTTAAAATGGTTTGGACAGAAATTACAAAATTTATGTTTTAGTTTTTAGAGTCAAAAATGGGAAACAACAATTTTTACCCAATAAAACCCTCCATAAACCCCCGTTCCCATGGTCTAATGAACAGTACAGAGACTTTAAAGCCAGGGGGCAGCGGATATCTCGCGAGAATCACACTACAAAGCTTAGCATTTTATTTCCTTTCATGGCAAAATGATCCACGTGATAACTGTAAGTTTTGTGAGAAAAGAACGCCTAGATCGCTGATGGTTGAGGTTCTTTGAACACTGTCTTTTATATTTAAATACAATTTTTAATCTGACACTGGTAGTGTAACTGTATTAGCCTTAGCCTAGTGGGGTAAACTTTCTTAATTATTACCTTGTATATGTCTTACACATTCGTAACAAATATGTGAGAAGGGAATATGTAAAATAACATTAAAAAACGACTGGATTAGAACTGCATGCTACAATAGAATAATATGATTAAAATTGATAATTAAGTTCTCACCAGCCGTTTATTTTATGTTTGGCATTAGGATCTATTCCTTTCGCAAGTAATTCAGCAACAGCATCAGTATCCCCAATACACGCAGCTTCTCGAAGTTTTTCTTCAAGTATTTTAAGTTTTTCCATTTCTTTCCAGGAGAGTAATTAAAGTAAACACAGATGCAGACAGAAAAATAGAAAGTTTGAGCAGACGATACTTTGACATGAGGCCAAAACATTAACCAATCACTTGATTTTTTTATCAAAACTAATGCCAACATTACTTCAGTATATAAATCAGGGGCACCAACAAAGAGAGAGAGAGAGAGAGACAGAGAGAACTATTACATAAGCATTGAGCTTAGAAATAGTTTCACAAAATTAAAAGTTTGTTCAAATACATGTTTTTAGCGAATTTCCCTGTAGGGAAGTAGCTATTACCGTAGGTGGTAGGACCTAGGCTCGGGACCGATTTACCTTTTCATTTTGATGTCCCCAGAGGCCAAAAACAACATTCGTTCAAATATATATTTAATATATATTTGTGTGTGTGTGGCAGTAAACGCGATAACTTGAGTAGTTTTTGTCCGATTTTGATGAAATTTGGTTTAAAGGTGTAAGGCGGGATAAACTTGAATGAGTTCGCGAACCAGCATGATCGGACCATGGGAACGGGGTTTTATGGGGTAAAAATTGGGGTTTCTCTGTGGTCAGTGAGGTAACTTTTTTAGCCAGAAAAGTAAATGGGCCGCAGACGCCATAGCCCTCAAGTTTAGCAATCAATAGACGATGGTCTTTTCTGTCGAAGGCTTTGTTAAAACCAGATAGACACAATCAACTTGGGAGTGTTCGGTAAATGCTGACATGATTACATTTCGGAAAACGAGGAGGTTTGTGCAAGAGGAGCGACCCTGGATGAAGCCAAGCTCAAACAAAGGCTTTCATAAATTTTGGACAGGGCAGATGAATGACAATATGGTCTATAGCCTTTGATATTGTTTTTGAAACCCTCTTTAAAAATAGGAACCACTATTAAAGCAATGCTTCAGCACCGTCGGAAAAGTTCCCTCTGAGAGAAGTTTTGCAAAGTAAATTTGGAGGTGGGGTATGAGAGCAGGGGCGCAGTACTTCAGCACAGCAGGTGGGATGTCGTCTGGGCCGGCTCCTTTGTTCGGATATAATGGTTCCAACTTTCTCTGCACATCCAAAGCTTGAAAATTAAACAGTTGCTTATTTATAGATTCAGACCAAAATCAAAAGTGGGCAGTGGAACGTCAGTCACTCTGAAGACCGAAGAAAAATATCTAGAGAAAAGGTTGCATTTGCCTCAGTGGCTTCAACTGAGTCAAGAAACACAGAAGATGGGGGCGAAGATGAGTTTCTTTGGCATTTAACATATGGCCAGAAGGACTTTAAGTTTTACTAGTTTGAGGGGATGCACGATTTTTATTTCAGCTGCAGTTTTTTAATACGGACAAAATGAGAGTTCAAAAATTAGAAATTAAAAAAAAATTATTGTAGGCCTAAAACTAAAAAAATATATAGTTATTTTTTTAATTAAACTGTCATAACCTAACCTAACTAACCAAACTTGCTGATAATGACAAAATTGAATGAAGGTTTACTAATAGAAAAAATAATTCTGTTCACAAAATAAAACTATAAATGCCTCAAATTAAATTTTATGTTTTTTAATTATAAAATTAAACTGTGATAACCTAACCAAACTAACCAAACTTGCTGATAATGAAAAAATTGAATGAAGGTTTACTAATCGAAAAATGTTCTGTTCATAAAATAAAACTATAAATAGCTCAAATTCAATTTTATAAGGTTTTAATTATAAAATTTAACTGTTATAACCTAACAAAACTAACCAAACTTGCTGATAATGCAAAAATCTTAGATAAAAAGTTTGTGCCCCAGATGGGTTTCGAACCTGGAACCATAAGTTTTGAAGCCAGGCACGCTATCCACTAGCCCACGGAGGCCGATGGCTTCATTCCGTTTCATTGCGCTAATGGTGTTCCCTCAGCCAATAAAATGCTCTCATTTTGTTCTTATTAAAATAACTGCAGCTGAAATAAAAATTGTGCTGAGGGCACACTGTTCTCGATCTTGCCGAGATAAACGGAGTGACATTGAATTGTTTGTAACTTGCAGACTCTTCTTATATTTTGGAAGTCCAAGTAATCTTGACGGGATAGTGATGATCTATATATTAATATTTTTTATGTAGGAGTAGAGCCTTCTTAGCTATGAATAGTATTTTGAGGTTATTGGAGAACCAATGTGGAAATTTTGAGCTAGATAATTTTTTTACGGATTTGTTTATACAGTTTTTCTTATTCTTATTCTTCCTTATCCTTATTAGGTTATATACAGTAAGACAACGAACTATGGCTAGACAACAATAATTTACAAAGCTCAACTGTCGCTATATCTATATACGCCACATGGTTTACAGTTTACAGCAGTCCAATTCCTGTGGTCCAAGAACTCTGGGATGGGTAATTATATCGACCACGGACGTCTTGCTAAAATTCTATTTTTCACTATTCTTATTTTAAATAACGGTCTGAATTCAAAAATGATTGTCATTTTCCCCGGCGAAAAGCAAAGTTTCCCCGGAAAAGTGGAAAAACAACATTTTTTCGGAAATGGGTCATGAGGGTACTCAAATTAACCGGTTGGGTGAGCTGAACAAGAATATGCAAGAATTTTCAAGATTTAACGGAGATACAGTCGGACAAGCACCGTTTTACCGGAAAAACGATGAAAAATTATTTTATTTAAAAACACACATTTTAGGTATCTACATTATGCGGGATTTTACGCTGATTGCATTAGGTTATGTTAGGTTAGGTTGGGTTAGGTAAGGTTGGGTTAGGTAAGGTTGGGTTAGGTTAGGTTAGGTTGGGCTGTTAGATTATATTAGGTTAGGTAAGGCAAGGTTGGGTTATGTCAAGCCCCCCACACACTACCAGACCAGACCTACAGACCAGACCGTCTGGTCTGGCGTCTGGCACTTGTCTTATCGTGTGTGGGGCTGTCTGCAGACCGATTTTCTCGGACCAGACGGTCTGCGTGTCTGATGGTTGAACCCTCAGACCACAGACGGTCTGAGGTTCCCCCACCACTATTTTTGTCTGGTCTGTGAGTGTGTAGCGCTGTCTGTCAGACGTCAGACCGTCGCGACAGTCTTCCTGTTGCACTGTTGCAGTGAGAGTGAGTGAGTGAGTGTTGTGAGTGTTAACCAATTTTTTTATACCTTGACAACACTGGTGCCATGACGGATGTCGTACTGGGGCCAATTTCATAATAAGCTACAAGTTACAAGTTACAACTTGTAACTTGTAATTTCCATTAGATTTGCATTGGGCGATCAGCTGATTTACTAATAATATTAGTTTGTTTACGATTAATGTTCGAATTTTCGAATGTTGGAATGTCTGGTCTGGGAATGTGTAGAGCCGGGCAAGACGGTCTGGTCTTAGCCAGACGGTCTGGTCTGTAGGTCTGGTCTGGTAGTGTGTGGGGGGCTTTAGGTTATCAATAAAATGGGCATTGTTTGTAACCTAACCCAACATAGCTAACCAAAATATAATCCAACCTAACCTAACCTAATATACCGGTAATCTAACCTAACCCAATATAATATAATCTAAACTAACCTTACCTAACCTAACCCAACCTAAACTTACCTATTTTTGGTCATTTTGGTACTAACTTGATTTCCTGACGGTGTCCCGGCCGTATCTCCGTTAATATCCATCGGATCTTGAAAATCCTCACTCTACCGGTTAATTTGAGTACCCTCTTGACCTATTTCCGCAAAAGTGTAGTTTTTTCGTTATCCCGGGAAAATGACAATATTTTTTGGATTCAGGACGTTATTTAACATAAGAATACCTACCTACATACATACCTTCTGTTGTGAACTTTTACCAGAGAAAACTGGATTGTTCATGTCAATAAAAAAAAAGAAATTAAAACATCACTTCATACATAAAATAGTGTAAAATAGTGTAGTAAAATAAAATAGTGAAAATAGTATCATTTTAGCGAGAAATCCATGATTGATATAATTACCCTTGTATGCTGCAACCCTTTTATGCATTATTTTAAATTACATAAACAAATTTATTTCAATTTCAAATAATTACCTAGTGGATACGAAAAGAAGTGTGGCCTTTTATTATGAGTGGAATACAATGACAATGTGGGATCCGAAGAAAGAGACGATTTCGTTTAAAGTATTTATTAATCAGAAACTTCATAATCAACTGTATTGGTTGTAACCATTAAATGAATAAATAAATAAATAATCAGTGGTATCATAACCGAGCATCAACAACATGGAGATGTACTACTCCACGGTACAGTTTCTAGACCTGCTGGTAAATGCAATGTCAGCATCTATTTTTTATACTGTTTTATCAATTCAATCCAATCCATCAGCTAATCAGCTTGTTTTCTGTTTTCGTTTTCTTCGGCTTCGGACAGCGACAGAGGACTATGAGTGGATTTGATTGTGATTGATGATATATGCTGAAACACTGAAACTATTGAAAATTGAAACAGTTGTTTGTGTTGGTTGTTGTGTTCGTTTTGTGCGTTAATTAAGTAATTCGATTCGTTAATCGTTACATAAATATAATTGAATAATTTATTAATTGCCGGATTTCAGCGTCGTGTAAATTGAAGAGTCCACTAAAATGGATGGACCAACATCAACAGATATAATGCTCATAAATGGGAATTCACACCCAGAATTAGCAAATTTGATTGCAAGGTTTGTTTAAATTTTTAATCAAATACATAGGCCTAACCCTAATCTAATGTTATAGCCTATTTTTTGAAAAGAGAAAGCCAATGATAAAATTCCCTTTCGTACTCAATAAATAAATGAACAAAGAAGGTAGGTACCTAACTTAGGTATATTCAATCTAGACACATGCCCCTGTGACATAATCTCCAATGTGTTATCTGTAAGCTATGGCCTTCATATAACTTACAAGGACTTGCAGAGAATTTGGGGATAGAATCTTTATAGTTTCTGTTTTACAAAAGAATCCAAATGCTTAAACTTGGGTGTTTAACACGTTCACTGCTAAAGGAAATTATAAAATCGAATCGTATTGCTAAAAATTTTTATTGTCGTATTACATTCCTTCTTGTGTCCTTATTGAAATACAATATTATATAATACGATCGGAAGTGA